CACCCACCACTCAGGGGTGGGGGCCCGGGGGGAGGATATTAGGTCCCCCCTTATTCTTGTTTAGGGCCCCCAACCACCGCTCAGGGGTGGAGGTCAGGGGGGAGGACAATAGGTTCCTCCCCAATTTGTATTTAGGGCCCCGACCCGCCGCTCAAGAGTGGGGGCCAGGGGGGAGGACATTAGGTCCCCCCCAATTTGTATTTAGGGCCCCCACCCACCGCTCATGGGTGGGGGCCAGGGGGAGGACATTAGGTCCCCCCCAATTTGTATTTAGGGCCCCCACCCACCGCTAAGGGGTGGGGGCCAGGGGGAGGACATTAGGGCCCCCCATTTGTATTTAGGGCCCCCACCCACCGCTCAGGGGTGGGGGCCAGGGGAGAGGACATTAGGTTCCCCCCCCCTTATTCTAGTTTAGTGCCCCCACCCAGCGCTCCGCAGTGGGGGCCAAGGGGGAGGACATTAGGTCCCCTCCCCAATTTTTATTCAGGGCCCCCACCCACCGCTCAGGGGTGGGGGCCAAGGGGGGGACATTAGGTCCCCCTCTTATTCTAGTTTAGGGCCCCCACCCACCGCTCAGGGGTGGGGGCAGGGGGGAGGATATTAGGTGTCCCCCCCCAATTTTTATTTAGGGCCCCCACCCGCTATTCAGGGGTGGGGTCCGGGGGGGCAATAGGTCCCCTTTAGTTTAAAAGCCCCCACTCGCACGTCGCGGGTGGGGGCTCACTGTTTAATAGACATGCCCCTACTCGCGGTATAGCGAGTGGGGGCAAAATTTACTAATACTAAGTAATTTTTACTTAGTATTAGTAAATTTGGCTGAAAGACCAATTTAGGTCTTCCGAAGTTCCGAAGTTGCCGAAGTGGCGAAGTTCCAAATTGACGAAGTTCCGAATTGACGAAGTCCCAAATTTCGGAATGCCGAACCGAGACAAATATTTTCCCCATGCACATGCCTAATACCAGAGGCGGCTCTCTAATTAGGCGGTTTAGGCGGCCGCCTAAGGCCTTGCGCAGGCTGGGGCCTCGCGGCCGCCTAAACCGCTTGTGGGCAGACTGTGTCAGGTGACACCAGGAGGGGGCCCGGCGGCTTGCCCGGTATGCCGCCGGGTGCCAGGCCCCTCCTGGCTGCCCGGCCAGCCACCGCAGACACAGGTCTGCAGCTCCGCAGTGAGTAGAGCTGCAGACCATGTGTCTCGCAAAAACCATCCATGCAGAGCGTTGCTGCGGGTTACCACGGCAATGCTCCGATGGTCTGCGGAGCTGCAGACCGGAAGCAGTGGCCACCGGACCACCAGGGAATAAAGGTAGGTTCTGCCCTCCTGCAAAACAGCCCCGCCGGGTGTCGCAGGGGCCACAGTGGCGGACAGGCCTGGTCGCAGCTGTGACCCCTGCGACCGTGGTAGTTACGCCACTGGTCAATAGGCTTATATCTATAGCAAAGATGATTTAAAAATTTTTATTTTAGCTGATATGATTCCAGTTTGGCTACTTTGGCCTTAAATTTAAAATTCACTTTAAATTCTCACTTTTGTGAATAACAATAATTATGTGTGTTGTATGGACGTACTTGAAAACGAGAGAAATCTCAATGTATCTTTCCTGGTAAAATATTTTATAAATAAATAAATAAATATGTGCCAAGAAGTTCAGCACCGTGCAATGCTTGTATTATTAATTAGACACGAATAAAGGCTTATGCCTTTACTGAGGCAGCCATATTTTTTTTCCAGGTTTTAGCTGATAGCAAAGAATAACAAGTTAATGATCAACATATACATTTATATCATCATTAGCAATTTGACACAATGTATACATGGAATTGTATTTTCTATTAAGTGATGCCATGTAACATTGCTTATGACTACTATTTTTTTTTTTTATATGTGCATCTTCTATTAGCAGACAGTAGATGGAGTAAGAGAAGTGTTAAATAAACTTGATAATTGTTAAAATCATCAGCTTTACTTGTAGGGCAAAAAATTTATGTTGATTGCAAAGTTTATTGAAATTAAAAAAAAAGACTGCCTACCAGTGTGCTCCTCAGAGATCACCACTGGGGTCAGTCCTCTTGTAATATATTCATTGTTAATGGTCCATATACTCTGGAAGGCAAAATGTGTGTATTAGCAAATGACACAAAGGTTTTCAACATAGCTAACATCCCTGGTGAGTTCACCAGTTGAGTAATGTTAAAAGAAATCTCTAGAACTGTAGAATGTTGAATTTAAAACTAAACCAACCCCCGGTTTGGTGCTTACTCTTCTTACATGGGGGTTCAGGATAAAACATCAATACCCATTTATTTACCGACAGCGTATCATAACTACTACCAATGTTGCTGTTTATATTGAATTTTTTTGTTGGTTTATTTATATTATATACAAAAAGATTTGACAGTATGTATTTGTGTAACTACGTTGAGGCACCACGGCCGGTTCACTCTTATATGCCTTTTATTAATGACACACTAATGTATAAATTATATATCTGTACAGTGCTAACACCATTATGTAACATGTGATGTAGGCTCATGTATCAGCCTCAACCCCAATGCTATGTTTTGTAACATCTGTCAACGCACATATAAAGAATTTTAAAAAATCAAACCAACAAAAAATTAAGCAATGTGTATAATTCCAGAAAGGCTCAAAATGCTTTGACTGGCATTGTTTAACTGCAAGTAGGAGAAGAAATTACACTATAAATTAAACTAATGTTAAATTAAATATAAGTAATTAGCAAAGCACAGGAAAATCTATGAAAACACTTGGTGAAATAGACAGTGGTAGATATAAACAATGGAGATGGACCCTACTCTGTGGGTCACCATTTTAGTTAAGGTAATAGCTATCACCATTATAGTTTAGATAACAGTTAAGATAAAATTGATATAGTTGTGCAACCTACTGGCGGTTTTCAACTCATTTCTCCACCTACTCTTATTTTTGGATTCCGAGTGCCCCAAAGATCTAATCATGAACCCTCCACGGAAAAGTTAAAGTTAATAGGTATCCCATTTCATGTGCCAATGAGCCATTCTCTGAATGGTGTCGCCCACTGTGTAGACCTTTTATTTACACAACTAGTAAAGGATTGCTTCTTTTTTTTCATGGTAATTAAAATTATGACTGCAGTGCCTCTTCAATAATAGGCAGAACAGACATATTATTGTTTATTAAATAAAACTGGTTTATGGTAAACCTATTCTTACATAAATTACCTGCTACTATGGCATTTTACATCCCTTTTAAAAGACCCCAACATCCAGTCTCTCTTGTTATACTTTAAGCAGATATGTTGTACCCTTGAGAAAAATGTATTCCTACTTTTATCCTAATATGTTAACATACAAAAAAACTTGCAATATATTTGTTGAACTTCATGTTTGCTGACATTATCCATTTACAGTAACATATATTATGCACTATATTATATATATATAAAAAAATAAATTAGATCACATTTTCTAAGATTTTGTAAAACAACTGAATATAGTCAACCCTGTTTCGGATGCAAGTCTGCTACTTTAGTTCTCATACTGACAGCGGAGGATCTAACATTTGCAAAAATCCCATTGTCTTTAGAAGTTGCATGTTTCATTGAACAACACGCCCTAAATGAGAGCTAAGTGTACTTCTCAATAGTCGGGGGAAAAAAGGAGGGGAAACACAGTGAATAGACCAGGGTCAGGTTTATGATATATTTAGATGGAACAAGAGCAATAAAGTTAAAGATCAATCAATATGATGGGGAGGGTTAATCCGACAATTTATCAGTAACTGAAAGCTGTCAGGTATGCATACTGCCTGCTAAACACTCACATATCACTGAGAATAATTAATTATTCCCAGGAATCTGTATAACAAAAGTAGTTCTATGTCAAAAACACATGTTAGTACTTTGCTGATAAAGTTTTGTTATTCCTAAATATCTTTATTGACAAACATAAACAAATACACTTTTTATTTTTTGGAACCAATTAACAGAAACAGAAAATTGTTTAATCACCGTACACATCTATTTTCATTCATACTTTCATAATCAGACTTTGGGGGGGGGAGGGGGGGTTTGTTTTTTTCCATTCAGTGTTTTTTCTCCTTTTTTATTCATATCGTTTTTACTGCAAAAATGATAAACAGTCTATATCAAGTCTACAAAGCTTAAATTTTACAATGGTAATATTAATAAAAATAATTTATTTTTACCATCTACAGAATTGTACAAAGTATCTATCTATCTATCTATCATGACATATCTGCTCACAGACACCTCCTAACTTTGTAGACTTATATAACAGCTCAGTTTGTCTAACGTTTGCATTCAGTGTTAAATATAGACCACCGATATCCTATACCAACAATAACAGATAGTGCAGGCTTTCATGATCTAGCATTACTGTATGAGTTTGCATGAACTAAACTGACTCTATACTTTTCTAACAGTACAACCAAACTGATTTCAAGAGTGGGAGCTTTTGTTTTATCCAGAAGATAATATCTGATTTATTTTCTGAGTTCATTATCATTTTTATGGAAAGGTTCTAGCAAACCTGTATGCAGATTCACTTTACTGACTTTTTTCAAGGCAAGAAATAAATGTTCGTTTGTGGGAGTTTATTTTTCCTGTCTTGTGGAATTTAACTCTTTAGGCAATAGGGGCAATGTTTTATAACAAACAGGAAAAAAAAAGAAAAAAGGTTGAATTTTAAAAGTTTTTTTTTAATGAGAGGCTACATAAGTGAAAAAGAAAATATTTTTTTTTTTATTCTCGTTTCTCCTTTTGGGTTGAGGTTTTGTCCATTTTTTAAAACAAGGATTTTTATTTATTTTAATAAAGATATGCCTCTGGTATGCTCTAATAAAAATGTATATGTCAGGAACAAGGTCTGACATTGTAATGAGTTTTCTAAGAAATTGTGTCAGAGATGCTGCATATGTCATGACATTTTAAAAGATCCCACAATCTCCTTTCCAGAAAGTTATTGGAGATGCCTCCTTGTGCCTCAATGTATAAAACATGTTCATAGCTCCCTCTGATGACCACTGGAAACCACACAACATTTCTGCTAGTTCGTGCATTCAGCTGCTGAGTGGTTAGATCTAATTGCTTCCAAGTGAGGTCAGCAAAAGGTATTTATCGAAAAGCATTGAACAACAACAGGCTCAACACACACAGAAAACCCCTCTTGCGTGTTGATTTATGGAAACAATTAGGATTCTGCTGGAGTTTTTCTGAGTTGAGAAATAGTTTGTCACTACAGAATCTCATGTTGCAAAGAGCAGGCTGCAGAAATGGAATATGTGTATCTCCATCTGTTATCAACAAGAACCAGTAAGTTCTATTTGCTTTTTGAATAATTCGTACAGGATTCAGTATTTGCAGATTTGTTTGTTTGCATTCTGATCGTTGAGACACTGAAATACCAGACAGTTCGTGACAGATTTCAGCAAGCTTTATCTGCATGTCTGTGGCTTTTACTAACATATTGTGAAAACTCCCAAAGCAGAGTCTGACAGCTCAGCCGAAGACGTGTGCTGCTCTCTCTACACAAGCATGCTGGGTTAAGCACTGCCTCATACATGTATTAACTTAACGCGGTTAATGACCATGACCAGAATCATTCGTTTCAATAAGAAACCAAAGTGCCCTTACAGCTTCTATACTAATATTTGTTTGGCAATTTTGATTTAATTCATAGGATAAATGTTAGTTTTGCATACAATTTTTAGGGTTAATTAATCTTTGTTTGCATTTACAGTGGCAAGAAAAATTACATTACACAAATATATACACAGTTATACATCCTATATAATATTCTGCACACAGGTAGAAATAATTTAGAACTACACAAAAGGCATGCAAAGGCCCCATTTAGATATATTTGCTGGACTGTAGTATAAATATTATCATTTCTTTACAGTTCTGTTACTATTGTACTTAACAGCAAGTCTGAGTAGTCCCGAATATTACAGCTGCCAGCTTCGTTCCATTTGGATCTTCTGAAGGACACTGCGTGGAGAAATCGCTATTGGGACATCAAGGTTTAAAGAATTTACAGAAAAGGAGTAAAACCAGCCTAGGAGCATCTTCAGTCGGTTTATTTGCTTTAACAGGTCCTGGACCTACCAACACAAATCCACCTGAGATTTAAGTTTCATTATGATGTTCATGGACACCCAAAGCACTGCACTATAATGCGCAAATGGATACTATCTTGGATACTTCCAACATTGCTCTACAGACCGTACTTTCACGTTATATTTTTATTGGGCACTCTGTCTCTCGCTTGCAATGACATGACTCCAGAGCAAATGGCTGTAAATGTGAACTGCTCCAGCCCTGAGAGACATACCAGAAGTTATGATTATATGGAGGGTGGGGATGTACGGATAAGGAAACTTTTTTGTCGAACACAATGGTATCTGTGGATTGGTAAGCAAGGTAATGTGAAGGGAACACAGGATGCCAACAGCAGTTACAGTAAGTAACAATTTATATTTTTCTGAACTATACTAAAGCTATCGTCTTAAGTGGCCCCCATCATATATATCTTATAGAATATGAAAGAATTACGCAGTATAACTGTTCTCATATATTTTTTTTTTAAAGTGCCATTTTAACCCCTTAAGGACCAAACGTCTGGAATAAAAGGGAATCATGACATGTCACACATGTCATGTGTCCTTAAGGGGTTAAACAATGCAGTGGTGACTGTTTGTTGAGCCTAAATATTTTACCTAATTATGTCACCAATAAGTTTTAATAAAAATTCAGAGCTGACACCATGTATGTATTTGAATTATCATAGCACGTTTGATTTAGTTTATGAAATTATTTTAAAGAAATCTAATTTTCATACCTTAACTTAGAAGTCGAATACACAATAGAAAAAAGCTAGAAACTTGAGCGGCTAATGGTGTAGTAGGACATAAAATGTATGTAATGAGTTTACAGTGTAGCCTTTGATAGTGTCATATATGTTACAGACGTAAAAGAAATGGGATGTTTTGATTGGACAGTCAGGCAGTTGAAAGGATGCTAGAGATGAATGCAGTAGGTGAAATAGGTTTGTGTTTAAGTATGTAGTGTGCATTCAATGCTTTCATATGTTCACATGGACTGCACTCACCATGCCACTACTTCATATTGTGTGAAACACATTAAGGCAGTAGTGACACACATTAAGGCAGTAGTGATGCTAAGCTTATTATTATTATTATTAGTCTAAAATGAATCTACTAATGGAGAAAAGGACTGGAGATCCCATACTTCAAGTGATTTAAACTACACAAGTAATAGCGATATAAAGTTATGTATGTAGAGGGAAAATATTTTTAAAATTATAAATATATCTGTGATCCTTTATTGATATCCTCTTAAAATATACAATGGGAAGACGGGATTGGGAAGATAATGAAGACTACAAAACAATGCATTTTCTGCTTTAAGTGCAACTTATTAGGTGTTATTAAGCTCCAACTCACATGGTGCTCAATAACTTACTGGCTGACCACAGACTGGGTGACTTTCATGGGGGTATGCTTTTACAACTAGAATGCTACTTGTTGGCTACCAGTGGTCTGAACCCAGTGCAGACAAACACCAGAGCATTCATATCTATGGATTGGTATTAGAGTACAGGAGGGAGAGCATATTTCAAGGAAATGTGTCAGAGCAAAAGGTCAGTCTCTGAATCTGAAGACTAACAGACTCCGGAGGAAAATGTACTGCTTTTCATGAATACAATAGGGAATTTTAAAGCACATTAGGATAAGGTAGCACTGATCTCATATGTTTGGATAGACTATGAACAGGTTGATAGATCAAGTGTTTGTTATCTGCTGTCATTTTTCTGTATTTTAACCCATGTGGTCTGCTGATGTCTGCTGCAAGTTGCAAACCACAGGATTACTAGACCCTCAGGCAATGAAGCCATTCATGTACTATAGTACTTACTCCAATTTCCTTGAACTATATAAACAAACTATGATGGCATGGTTTAGAAAATTAGAACATTCTAGCTATATGCTTTGATTCACTAAATAGAGGATCATAGTGAACCGAAAAATAAATTGCATAATTTAGCATTAAAATCCCCCAAATCAGCACGTTTAACATACAGATTGCTACTTAGTGAACAAACCCCTGCAGGTCTGTTCAGATAGAACATATTATAGAACACGCCATGTAGTTAAATGACTCCACAGGGCACACAGATCATGCCCAACAAGGCAAAAAAATCCAGTGGGACTCAAGCAGATATAGGAAGCAACTTCCATTATGATCTGCCAGTCAGAGGGTGGTGAACTTGAGATGAAGGGTCAGGTTTCACCTATCTTTGTGCCAATCACTTATCTTAACTATGGATCCGAACAGATATTTAACCCTTGTTTTCAGTTTAGGGACTAACTCAAGAAGCATTTAGAATAAGTTAAGCATCCTATGTAAGTAGCAATCTGGATTTAGCTATAGCACCTCCAACATTTTATATACTATGTAAAATGTATCCTGAATGTTAGCAAAAATGTGCTTAAAATTGACATTTTCTAATATAAGATGAAATCGTATAAATTCATATAATAGGTGGAAATGAAAATATTAATATATTAGTTATTTAGCCTTAAACAATATGGAGGCATAGCACCGAAGGGCTTGCAGAAAATGATACCCTGAACCAGTATTATAAGAAAACGATGAGTGTATGAACAGCACAAAGGAAATGTTAAAACAATACTCTTAAAGTAGTTTATTTTAGACATCATGCACACGTAGATTTAATCCCTTAGAGACCAGTGGCAGTCTATGCCTTTCCATCTGGTCTTTAAGAATCCTAATCCAGAACAAAAATTCCTACTTAACTAACTGCTTCAGGGCTTCGTATAGCTGCCAGAGTTAAATAAGCAGGGCACTGAATGTTGGCATAAGGTTTTAAGTGCAAAAGGAAAAAGTGTAACATGTGGTCGTTAAGGAGTTAAAAGTGTATTGTATCATTTTACTGTTGTAAGGTTCAGCAGGTAGCATATCCTTAGGAATATTTTGATCATTTTTAATTGAAGAAGTGCATTTTGCATATATCTGTCAAAAATCGGTGGCTTTTCATTATTAAAATGGTATACCCAATATTCAAAAAATAATCTCCGGGAATGAGATCTCCCTGTAGTGGTTAATGGTCACAAAGTCTCCAGGAATTAGACATACCAGCAAATCTGAGAAGTGCCTGAAAAAAATGCTCAGTAATTCATTCTGAGTCCAATGGCAACTCTGTGTGAGGTACATTGACTGAGCAAAAATCAGGTGACATCCTGCACTACACATATCTTACAAGCTAGAAAAATGGTTCATTTAGCTGGACACTTTATAATAAAAGCAGTGAGTTTGATTTGCAGGCTGGAATCCTAGCATTCAACATGGATTGAAAAAAAAAGAAATCTATTGATCAACTGTAACCTTTCCCGTACTACTCATCTTCACCCTCTTTAATGTGATGATCATATACCATTCTGTAGCATAGGCTTGGGGGCATGACATCTATTGAATTTCAGATGCAGTGTAAAATAACCTATGTGTTCAAATGAACACGATAAAAAACCAAGAACATGAATTCATTATCTGTAAACACAACCAAACTATATCCATATCACATATGGGATTCCACACCTGCTCAGTCCATTCTTCATCCCTGAAAGGGTAATCATACTCCTAGTACTTTTTGTCTGTGTATAATACACACACTGTGCTTTTAGAGACTGTTGTACGGATTAGAACTTTATTTAGTATATATTATTTTACAAATTTGAATATGGCTTTTTAAGTGGTTTCTGTTTTTATATGCTTAGGTTATTTATTCCCTTAACTGAAATTGTTTTGATTACTGTTTGCTTTCTTTCCCTTCAATGGGATCTCTCAAGGTGTTTAATACGATAATAAGATAAAAAAAAAAAAATGTTGCAGTAATCATTAATAATCCTATTTCCGAAATTTAAAACAAAAAATAAAAGTGAAAAACAATACTTTTTTCATGATTACCTAGATTTAAATATTATAGTATTGTCTCTTGTTCCACTCTCTCACTCTATAACGGGAACCTTTACTGAATCCGTACTACTCACTGCTTTTCACATCCCTACCTTCAGATTCTCCGTTACAGTAATTTCAAAATGGTGATCAATGGGTCATTTCCTCCCCCATCTAAAACTACATTCTGCATTCCTGTTACCTACATATCTCCATAGTAGTTAAATTGCAGAAGAAAGGTGAAACCATGATTATTACCTTCTTTTCATATTGGCTTCATAGACATTGACATATCTTAAGTTTCATAACAAGTAGTTGGAGAAACTCATATTACTCGTGTGCCATATTTCACAAAGAAGACACAGATGAGGTGGCGAGGCAAACAGACTGGTGTCATGCTTTAATCCTGCCCATATCAGTCTTAACTAACCATTCTTAACAGCAGTATATTTCAATTCATAGTGTTAACATCTAAGATATATTATGAGCCACATAAAGGAGATAATAAAGAAAAGGTGCTCCCTAAAAAATGGATATAGTAAGATTAGTTTTTAGCTCAATGGTGTTTCACAAAGCCTAACAGAAAATGGTGCACATATTAAAAATTATATGTCAGGTATTCTGCTTAACCCTGGGCTTGACAACATTGCTTTAAAACTAGGAGCCAGCTAAAAATGTTAGGAGACAGCTGTTTTTTTAACTAACAAAGCTTTATTGTCAATGACATAGACACAGTGCTTAAAGACACACTATAGTCACCAGAACCACAACAGCTTAACACATTGGTTCTGGTGTCTGTAGCCTGTCCCTGCAAGCTTTTTAATGTAAACAGAGAAAAGGCAGTGTTTACATGGCTGCCTAGTAACACCTCCTAGGTGCATTCACTCAGACGGCCACTAGAGGTGCTTCCTAGACCAGTGCTGCACAGTGTGCAGTACCTACATTCAGAATCTCCATGCTCTGCAAGGAAATGCTGAACGCTCCCCATAGAGATGCATTGATTCAGTACATCTCTATGAGGAGATGCTGATTGGCGCAGCGTGGCAGTAATTTGTCACACTGACAGACACACACAATCTCTCACACACATTGACAAATTATTATTATTTGTTTTACTTTAAGTCCACCCAGCCTCCCTATCTTTGGGAGAACTGAAGTGGATCCTTTCCCTGGAGTCCAGTAGAACTGCTATGATCCTGTAATCTTCAAGATCTTCTTGCTCTGCTTCCTCAAACGCCATTTAGTGATGCCATGGCCAGAGTAATGTTATATTACGGCTCCCGGCATCACTGCAGGGTGCGTGAGGGAGCAGAGCAAGAAGACCATGAAGATTACAGCTCCCTTGCTGCCATCTCCATTGCTTACAGCCGCCACCTTGGTGGCCACCCTAAAGTGGTCATTGCTGAACGGGCTGACAAATACCCAGGCAGTAAATCAAAATTCTTAGTTGCCACGGCGACCTGACCCCTGGGATTTGTCGAGCCTTGGCTTAACCATTTTGCAGTTGTAATTGGAATTTAAATAAACTTTTATGTTTAGGATAGATATTGACAGAATACATAAAAATACATTGACTATTTTATTGATATCTGGAAACTTGGTATCAATTTGGTATTTTTGCACTCATATATAAAGTATCTGTCTCAAAGCTTAATACACACTCTGAAATAGGTACCCATTTCTACGACAGAACCTATATGTCAACTTAATGGTGTTCATAAAAAAAGTTGATAGATGACAGTTATTTACTAAAGTGGGAATTCAAAGTGAATTTAAAATCTAAGGTCAAACTAGAGGAACTGAAACCATCAGTCAGCTACGCTTTTAGTTTGTCTAGTTTAGTCTTAAATTTAAAGTTCACTTTGAATTCTCACTATACTTATTCATATAATACCTTTAAAACCCATCCAACACCCACAAATTCCTCTTAGTACAGATGGCTGTAAAAAGATGTATTTTCAAAATAACTCTGATGAATAGGGCTGCCATCACCCTCCAAATATAATTACCAAGGCAAGTTATGTGCATTCACTCAAATACTCTACGTTGAAACGTGGGCATCTGGATCATGGTCAATTACTATACTTACACTGAGATATTAACCAATGCAACTAATAAACCCAACAAGAATTTAAAATCTAGCACCAGGAAACTATGTTTAAAGTATTTCATAGAATCCTGCAGCTGCAGGGAGATATTTCAACTCCTTTGATTATAAAAGCAGTATATCTGCAAATAGTTCATGTCCAAAATATAATGCAGACCTCCTACGTTGATAGACTGCCTACATCCTACAGACATAAATGATTCTGGTGCATAAACCATTTAAATAGATTTTCGACCAGACCCTACAGTAGGGCTGTTTGGCATTTTTTTTTCTCATGGGTGGTGGGGGGGATGGAAGGCTGTGGCTACCTGAGAGGTTCTACAAAAAAGGGATACTTAAAACTTTTTGTTAGGTGAATTGTTGTTCTTTAGCTTAGATATAGGGCGATTCTTCTTGTTTGTTCTTTTTAAACTGAACCTGCATTACAAAGCAAGGACTACTGAAAAGGTTTTCTCCAGTGGCCCATACTGATTACATACAACCTAAGCATACATAATATTTTGTACATGTTCTATACTTAAAGGGACACTGTTTGCACTGTGTTTGCTTCATCTCATTAAACTGATTATAGTGCCGGGAGTCCCCTGGTATCATCATTCAGCATTAAACAGTTTTTAATGTTTTTATGTTTTAATGCTAAATGTGAGTCCCTGGAAATCCATCCCCTCTGTTCTTCTTTGGCTAACGAGGAAGTATTTGCCTGAACAGCAATGGGTAGCTGTGATTAGCTGAGAGTGTTAGCTGACTGCTTTTAGCCTATCACAACTCCAACTGATGGTATGAATGGGTATGGCAACAAGGAAGTGAGTAATCTCTGCCTTAGCCACACCTCCAGAAGGGGCTGGACTCTGGGTGGTCAGGGACTCTTATTTAGTGTTAAACTACTCTAAAGTGGAGGGACAGTGCCAGGGGATGAAATGGTTATAGTGACCAGAGTGTCCCTTTAATACATAGTTCTCCTCAGAACATATGTTGTATTTGATATAATAATCCATCCTAGTACAAATGTATTTGCCATTTTACCATTATAGATTTTTGCTAATCGAATATTTTCAGGAAGAGGTGTTTTAGTTTGCATAAGAAATACCGCATTCAAACCAGTCAGCATTTGAATACACTGAAACCAACATCCTACAGCAAAACCTAAGTCCTGGGAGAAACGTTATTGACCATCACTGCCTAGTAACATACCTAACTGTGGATACATCATGGAATAATTATAGCATACATCTATGCATGCAGACAATAACAAAAGGTTTAAAACTATTACAGTTGCATGCAAACATTGCCTAATTGCCATTCACTTTCAAGATGCTTACTTTAAAAAAAAAAAATACATTGACGTGTTAGTTTTACACTATCAGTTGTCAAACCAAAATAATTTAATACAGTTCCTTACTATGTAACGTTTGCATGTATGTATTTGTTTTATATTTTAATATTGCTTTATTATATAGGAAGCGTTATAAAATTTTGTGAAAGTGTAAGATAGGCAATGCAAATGATAAAATAAAAAATCTGATTCAGCAAGTGAGGACAAATGATGACAAATTAACCGTCTCTATGAATGTTAGTTGGTGAATAGAATACTGACTGCAATGTGTCCATCTACAATATAATTTGGCATTTGCTATTTTGTTCTCCTTGAATGTCAGTGGTCCATAAAGAGTTTGGAATTTTTATGTATTCAAAAATGTTGCTGCAAAGTTCATTTTTATTAGCATTGGTCAATGCAGTGGTAGTCTTTGGCCCAAGATATAAGTCCCTGCTTGCCACCCAAAAGATACATTTATTAAATATGAACATTTTGCGATTTTCCATTCATAATGGAATTCATGGGCAGTTATATCATCCTCTACATTTTCAAGATCCCCCGTATTTAACAGTTTCACAGAGGACATATTATTCCTTAAATGGCCAAAGGTAGGCAACCTTCATCACTCCAGATGTTGTGAACTACATCTCCCCTGATGTTTTGACATCATTACGGCTAAGGGAATCATGGAAGATGTAGTCCAAAATATCTGGAGTGCCGAACTCCTGCTATAGACTCTAAACAATTTCATCTCTAGAGTCCCCTGGTACTGTTCTTTCATTCATTGTTACCATTTTTGAGCATTTTAACAGTGAATGAGTGTCTCTGGTCGCACCCAGCCCCAGCCCTACCCCCACTGGAAGTATGATTAAAGCAGAGATTACACGTTTGTAGCCATACCAACTTACACTTGCAGTGGACAGCTGTGATAGGCTAGTGGGCATTCTCCGACCTTCACTGGCACCCATTGCTGCTTTGGCTAATGCCTTCTCACAAGAACGAGCACAAAGTGGTGGCTGCAGGGGACTTTAATTTAGTGTTAAACCATTCAAAAATAGTAAAACATTGAATAGAAATACGGCGCCAGGAAACTCCAGACACTATAACCACATCAATGAGATGAAGCAGTTACAGTGCCTAGAGTGTCCATTTAATAATATACTTTTGTTTAATGTCCTTTACAAATTAAAAGCTCAAAACAGTCTATTTAAATTAACTAGCTACCAATTGTATGTAATTAATGGATTTACTGCCTGAAGCCCTTATCTTTTTTTTCTGGTTTTGTGGTTTACAAACAATGACACATTCTGTTCTAATCATTTCAATATGACTGATTGAAATATTGTTTTATGTTACCTAATGCCAGGCTAATTCAATACCATGTATATAGTTGGAAGAAAAAAAAACGGGAAAAAAAACAACAAATACCAAAACAGTTGATTTTGGTGACTTTTGTAATCTGATATTGAATGGATAATAAACAAAGTGACTTGGAAATGGGGGAGCCAATAAATAAGCAAATAACTTCAGATGAGTAAACAAACTAAATATATAAACATTTTAATGAATTACTGCATCTACAATGAACGGGCAGGAAAACTATTCGCAATGTTTTATTAGCCTGTTTGGAACCAAAATAATGACTAACGGAATGCCCAACTTCATTTATGGTGAAGAGTGCAGTCCAGAATTGAAAGTCAAAAAATATAAAACGGGGGAAAACAAAATCTTGGATCATATATGTTGCTGGTTCTACACGCTGGTATCAGACCTCAATGGTTTTTAAATCCTGCATGCAGGTTTTTACTGAACTGCAAGAGCAGGTTTTACTTCTTGCTTTTTTTAATAGAAGCAAAACCCCCAAAAAAGTGTCAAAAAAAATAATAATACAATTCCAGGTACACGTAAAGATAAACCTAATTTTATCCACTGCACAAGAATGCCCATACTTGAAGCTGCATTGAGCAGGTTGTGGCCACCACTGTGCTGATTATAAATATTTTTTCAATTTGACAATTTTTATTTTCATAAAGTGTACAAGGTACAAAAAGGAAAAAGGGAAGTGGGGAACATAAACCAGAGTTGCGTTGTTTTCAGTACATATAAGGAGCATTGGGGTACAGAAATCAAATAGGGGAGAGTTAGAGGAGGAATATCAGCTTAAATTGACCTTTCATCCTAGGATCCCAGCCCCCCCCAACTCTTGCGGTAGAGTCTCCACAGCGCTCACCCTCTCCCCATTTGTCTCTCCTGGGACGTCCTTTACCTTTTGTCTTATACATGAACCCGTGGGTGTGTGTCTGTGCTTATTAGAATTAAAGCAAACTCCATCATACAAAAGCATGGCTGTTACTTTCTAAAAATGACAGCTGAGTGTAAATTCATCTGCAGAAGTGGTCAGTCTAAAGCAGTGAGTACCGCTGAAAATACACAGTTTTTGCACTAGTGAGGCTGCATGATTAGTTTAACTTTTGTTGAATCAACTATCAGAGACAATATAAGTACCATAACTGTGACAAATAATTGAAGTGGTTATGTGGCAAGGAGGCTACAGGTGTAGTTCCTCCAGTTTTTATCAAAGCCACACAGTTAATGTATATGTTTCAATCTTGTATGCCAGTTATAAGCAACATATGAGGGGCCATTTCTGGGCTCTGTGAGAGCTCTGTTTTTTTTATCAAACTCATCGAAAACAGTTTGACAGAAAATAGGGAATAGCACACAAAGACTCTTGGCACCATAATCATTACAGCGAGCTGAATTGCTTATGGTGCTTAGAGTCTCTTAATAAATTAAACCATTACATCTTATTGTAATAGCTTTTGCATCAAGCAATGCATATGTATGCTACAAACTGGTCAGGATTCAAAATAGCAGCAGGTTGTGTTACCTTGTCAGTACATGGTGTATCTATTCGCAGTTCTTACTTATTTTAGATGTTTTATTGGTTTACAGATATTTGACTGTTAGATTATTCTTACATCCAGTAACTTGATTTTCTCTGTCTACATTTTACAATGGTAGCAACTTAATAAAAAGATCTGAGCTCAAGATCCATAAATGATGAAATCAGATTATCTAGCTGACATATATGACAACATTCTTACATAATTCGAACCTCAATCCTCTCACCACCTCTCCCCCAAACCCTCTATCTAAATCTTCCATTTAGTCTGCATACATTCTGGCACATATCGATCATATTCATATGTTTGTATTTCACTTTTATCTGTGGCGCTTAATTTAAATCCATTTTGGTCCCCCAAGGCATGGCTTAGCATGTCAAAATGTAACTCCACAGCTTTGTGGAGACAGGCTAAGGGGAAAACATGGGTGGAATGGGGGGCTTGGAGAGAGGGGAGGGGGAGTTCTGGCTTCAGACACCAATTTTGCATCAAATTCTCATTACACAGCCTGAGGTGTAGTTACACCTTTGACAGCAGTGGGGTTAATCATCATCATCATATATGCAGCATTTCATAGTGACGTGCTGCACACAGATGCCAAGCACCATGACCACTTCAAGTCAGTGAGGTGGTCATGGTGCTTTTAGTAACTCTTTAAGAAGCAGAAACATATTTCTGTATTATTAGTCTACATTTCCCAGATAATGCTTCACAGATAACATTCAGAGTCAGAAAACATGAACTTAACTGATTATAATTTTGTTCTATGTTGATAGCAATAATACTGTCCTCATTTTTATTTTTACAACCTTCAAATAACCTAAAAACTTGATTACGTCATTCGCTGTGTGCTGATGATAGACGTTTTGTAAGCACAGAAATGAAATTAGTCAATCTAGAACAGAGTTCTGTGCTCTTCTTTTATTGACGTTTCTCAGCCGTTTGGCATCAGAAAGACCAATATTAATCTGTTTGCTATTCTTCATGCAGGTAGCGTGTTTCTGATATATACTTCATATATTACCATTGAGCAACTCTTGCTTGTTTCTCTGGATCTTGTTGTCCATGTTCTATGTAAACTTATCTTATCTACTGCTAGTCTCAGACTATACAGTAGTCTTTCCCTGATATCTAATTAACTAAATATTTATTCCTCACATGTTCTGACTATCTGCTTCTATGCTTCTGAAATACCAAATTACGTTAGTCCGTATTCTATCCATCACACTAGGCCTGCTTGATGCACCTCACTAGTGACACAAATGTCAGAACTGTTATAATAAATATTGAGCAAGTAAAGTGATGTAGTGATGTAGAGGGAATAAAAGAATGCTATAGGAGCTGTGGGGGAAGCAACAGTCCTAGAGAGATTTTGGGCTGGGTTTAAATGACCACTATAGTGCCAGGAAAACATACTCGTTTTCCTGGCTGAAGGGGATGGAAAGGGGTTAATCCCTTACCTTTTTTCCAGCGCCTCTCCTCCCTCTTCTTCCGTTATCGGCTGCATGCGCGGCAAGAGTCGCGCGCGCATTCAGCCAGTCTCATAGGAAAGCATTCTCAATGCTTTCCTATGGACGATGGCGTCTTCTCCCTGTGAAAATCACAGTGAGAAGCGCGGAAGCGCCTCTAGCAGATGTCAGTGAGACAGCCACTAGAGGCTGGATTAACCCATAGGTAAACATAGCAGTTTCTCTGAAACTGCTATTTTTACAGCAAAAAGGGTTAAACCTAGCTGGACCTGGCACCCAGACCACTTCATTAAGCTGAAGTGGTCTGGGTGCCTATAGTGGTTCTTTAATACCACGTATAAAAGCCATTCAACTGTATTCATGTATATCAATATAATTAACTCCTGCAGTATTAGTGGCTTGTCATGCTAACAAGGGATTCACCAAACCCTTGTCCTTAAGGGGTTAATGTGATCATGCTTCTTAATATTAATAATATAACTAAATTATATATCTATCACTATACTTCTATGTTATATATCTATTACTATATTATATTTGTATCTCTTGCCATGTCATTTGCAAGAAATAGCACTGTGTGATGTTTTTTTAAACAAAAAATTTGAATCTTCAAAATAACAATTTGGCTTCAAGGAATCGTTAGAAAGCTCTGTGATGTTATGCTTCATGGTGATTTTTTTTGTTAGGTTTCCTAGAAATCTGATGGGTATATGGTCTACAAAGTGATGGGAATTTGTCATGTTGTCAATTCCTGTCTGTGTTTTAATGCTTTCTGGGGGAGGGAGGTGGATTGGCAGGCCTGGGATAATTGCAGTACATAGAGCTCAAGGCCAGAAAAGTTTAGTGAGTGGCAATGCTACTAGGAGGATCAAAAGAACAGTAGAATTGTACCCATTCATTAGACCATCAGGTCAATTGATTAAAAGCTATTACTAGTTTGAAAAAATGACTACACAGCTGGTTTCTTTACCATGATCACCTTGAAACTTACACATTTCAAAACACCTGTAACATTGCTACTAGCTCTGAATAGACAGACAGATCATTACAGAATGGCAAAACATCATAACTAGAACTCTGGATTAACTGAGGACTGAATGAATATTTTATAGGTAATTTAACCCCTTAAGGACGGAGCCAAATGTACACGTTGTGAACGAAACAAAATGTAAACAAAACCTGGCATTTGCGCTACATGTCTGTCCAACTGTAATTCACCTCTTTCATATTAAATACACCCACCCTTATTATATATCATTTTATTCAGGGGAAACGGGGCTTTTATTTAATATCAAATATTTAGCTATGAAACATAATTTAATATGAAAAAAATGGGAGAAAATAAGATTTTTTTTTTTATTTGTTTGCTTTTACAGCAATAAAATACACATATTTGTATTCAGCAAAGTCTCACGTGTAAAACAGTACCCCCTATGTACAGGTTTTATGGCGTTTTGGGAAGTTAAAGGGTCAAATATAGCACGTTACATTTGAAATTGAAATTTGCCAGATTGGTTACGTTGCCTTTGAGACTGTATAGTAGCCCGGGAATGAAATTTACACCCATAATGGCATACCATTTGTAATAGTAGACAACCCAAGGTATTGCAAATGGGGTATGTCCAGTCTTTTTTAGTAGCCATTTGGTCACAAACACTGGCCAAAGTTAGCGTTAGTATTTGTTTGTGTGTGAAAAATGCAAAAAGCGCCAATTTTGGCCAGTGTTTGTGACTAAGTGGCTACTAAAAAAGACTGGACATACCCTGTTTGCAATACCTTGGGTTGTCTACTATTGCAAATGGTATGCCATCATAGGGGTAATTTTCATTCTTGGGCTACCATAGGGTCTCAAAGGCAACGTAACCAATCTGGCGAATTTTAATGTGAAAAAAATGAAACGCAAGCCTTATATTTGACGCTGTAACTTTTGAAAACACCATAAAACCTGTACATGAGGGGTACTGTTGTACTCGGGAGACTTCGCTGAACACAAATATTTGTGTTTCAAAACAGTAAAAAGTATCACAGCAATAATATCGTCCGTGTAAGTGCTGTTTGTGCATGAAAAATGCAAAAAAAATTCACTTTTACTGGCGATATCATCGTTGTAATACATTTTACTGTTTTGAAACACTAATATTTGTGTTCAGCGAAGTCTCCCGAGTAGAACAGTACCCCCCCGTGTACAGGTTTTATGGTGTCTTGGAAAGTTATAGGGTTAAATATAGTGCTAGCAAATGAAATTCCCTTTACTTTCGGCATGGGTTGTCAGGCAGGTCCCGCTAATTGTAATTAATTAGGATACCTAATTATGTAAAAATATTACATAAATATATATGTAGAATATATGTATATATATATATATATATATATATATATACGTATGTGAATCTATATGTGTATATATATATATATATAATTTAAAAAAAATATTTTTATTTATATATATATAGGTATATATATAGTGATATATACGTATATATTTTTGTATGTAGATATATATATTATTTCGTTCTACGTGTATTTTGATATAAATATATATATATTAATATCACAATACAGTTAGTATTTGTATATAAATACAGTTAGTATTTGATATAAATATATATATATATATATATATATATATATATATTAATATCACAAAATAACACACATCTATTTTTTTATTGTTTAATTATTTTTTTAAATTTTTTAACGTATTTACATATTAAATTTTTTTATATTATATTATATATATATTTAATCAGTATCAGTCTACGTGTAATTTGATATTAATATATATATAATTATATATATATTAATAGTAAAATACACCTAGACATTGTGTGTGTGTATGTATATGTGTATCATTAGATCACCGGAGGAGGAGGATCTGCCGCAGGGGTGGCTCCCTGGGAGTCCCCCCCACCGCGACCGCCGGCGACCGGGTAAGTAATGAAAGAACGGAGGGCGTACAATTACGCCCGGCGGCGTTTAGAGCCGCCTAAAATAGGGAATAATTGTACGCCCTCCGGTCTTAAGGGGTTAAACATATAACAAGCAAACATGTTATAAACACAACATATTGCAAAAAGGGGGGTGGGGGGGGGGGGATAAGTCCTGTGCTTTAAACTCCCACTATTCCTGGGCAGCATCAATGGCTATAGTATTTTCCAGCCAAAATATATCAAAGAAAACCAGTTACCTGCGTGCCTAAATCCCTATGCATATTTTAAGAACTAGAGTGTTTTTTTAGTTCTACTCCAATGTCCGTTAAATTGTTAGGTCACGTGCTATATCAAGGTACACCTTATAGGTGAGTCCTACCCTAACAATCCCCTTGCTGTTTTATCTAAAAGGCAAAATATCTAATGAGACAGAAAGATGTACTCATGTGAACCCCTACACAATTACTAACCCATAACCAGGCACACATGTGGTGGGTGGCGTCTCTGTACATGGTTGTGTAATACAGAAGCAAATACAAGCACACAAAATTAAGCCCTGCATTCAAACTTCCACTACTCTTGGGTGGCAGCAATGGCTATAGTATTTACCAGGATACTGTTGAATATTATACTGCGCAAGTAACATTGATGCAGTAAACAAATCCATTGCTGCAGTAGAAAGGCAGCTTCCCCCCCTCCCCCCCCTTTTTTATTCCCTATATTAATCCCTCAATGACACAGATCTTCAAAAGGATTTCGGCCAATCTGTCCATCATACCTCCCAAGTGTTTCTTTTTAAGAGGGACAGTCCCTATTTTGAAATTAGTTTTTTTTCCAAATTCCTCTGTCCCGATTTTCTTTCCTAATGTCCTGTGTCCTTAAACTACAAAGAATGTGTTTAGAAGTCATCCTGTGTAAAGAAGATCCATAGTTTTTGCTCTAAATTACATTATTGTTGCATAAACTGTTATTAAAGGGACAATCCACTGCCCAAATACAATTTTTTTTTAAAATCACTATTTAGTATATATACCCCTAATGAAATCATGCATGCATTTAATTATGCATTTTCCAATAGTGCTCCATGTAAAAATAGCTTTCAAAACCTGCAGATCTCTTCTCTGATGCCTTTGCAAACCTTCTCCTTTTATCTCCACCCAGACTTTCTGTGGCTATCCAATCACTAGTGCTCAATGCTGCTCAATGAGAAGTCTTTGCAAGGCAGGTGTACTGAGCAATTGCTGCCTCATGAGTTTAGCACCACTGAGCTGACAAAGCAGAAAGTAACAGGACCGGTTTTCTGCTTGAAAGCCAAGGTTAACCCCTTAAGGACAGAGCTTCAGAAGCTTGTCTTTCACTTAATGACAACAGCATTTTTTTCATTTTTTGCTGTTTGCGTTCAACTGCAATTTGCATTTTACTAATTTATTGCACCGACACATATTATATATTGTTTTTTAAAGGACAGAAAGGGCTTTAATTTGATGTAACAAACACATATATATAAATGCTTATTTATAAAACAAAATACAGAAAAATGCAAAACAAAATTAAAAGTTTTATGTTTTTATTTACAGTTTTTGCAATAATAATGTGTGCATAATTAGTGCAGGTTAAGGAAAGTAATAAAAAATAAATTCATTTAGTTGTTCTGATTTACAGAATATATAATATGTCTGGGATTTTAAGTTTTTTTTTGGTAGTTACAGGTCACAAAGCACAAGGGGTAAAATAAACTTTTAATGTGGAGCGATTTTAGAATTTGGTATGTTTGTCTTGTAAGCTTAATAGCCATAAAAGAAAACAAAATTGCCACACAAAAGTATATATTTATATAAAGTAGACATCACAGGCTATTTACCTAGGGTTGTTTTGACACTTTCTACGTAGCCATTTCACCGCCAACCTCTGCTAAATATTGGAATAAAATTGTGTTTTTTGGCACACAAACTTATAACAAAGAAATTCTCATGTGTATTTTGTAAAGTTGGTGTGTGCTATTCCTGTACAAAGTTTTATTTTGTGTTCAGTTACATCTGCTGAGTAAAATGACACCCCCATTGTATGTCTTTGGCACTATTTCGTGAAGTTACAGTGCCATATAAGAGGCCTGTTCTTTTCAGTATTCACAGTAGAATTTTGAGAGACTGATTTATTGAGCCTGTGCTTCCATTTGGGGTATTATAACAGTTTGACTGTTCAGAAAGGCCCACAAAGGTCTACCATTTGTAAAAGTAGACACTACAGGGTATCTCATAAGGTGCATATTGTGCCTTAACATTCCCCCATTTTTTCACCAATATATGCCAAAGTATGTGGTAAAAAAAATATTTTGTGTGTTTTTTACACATGGATTGCATTTTTTCTGGGCATTTTGTATATTTCACATGTGCCACTAAGTTCAAACCCCCCAAATTATGCTCAGTCTAAGTCTTCTGAGTAAAATGACACCACCATTGTATGTCTTTGGCACTATTTCGTGAAGCTACAGTGCCATATAGGAGACCAAGCCATATCAGTTTTTACCAAACTTTGAATTTTGACACTGGGCCTATGTGCAATTTCCAAGCATCTTAGCAGGGTTTAAATTCAAACTACCCCACAAAGGCCTACCATTTCTTAAAGTAGACACCCGGTATTTCAAAAGGTATATTTTGAACCTTATCGTGGGATCATTTTTCCGCTAGCTAGTACCAAGTGTAGTGGTAATAAGTGTTTTTTCTGCCTTTTTGACACAGAAAGTGAGTTTGCACAGTATATTTTGAAAACCTTATGTGTGCTACCAGTGTGTAATACTTCATATGTTGCTCAGCTATGTCGGCTGAGTACAGCAATAACTCCGTATGTACCTTTGCCAGGTATATGTGGACATCGGAGGGGCACATTTGGGACACAGCTATTCCAGTTTTTTTCAAACTTTACATTTTTACGCTGTGCCCATGTCCCATTATAGAGTATTTTACCAGGCTATATAATCCAAATACCCCATAAAGCCATACCATTTCTTAAAGAAGACATCCCAGGGTATTTCAAAAGGCATATTTTGAACCTTAGCATGGGATCATTTTTCTGCTAGCTTGTACCAAGTGTAGTGGTAATAAGTGTTTTTTCTGCCTTTTTGACACACAAAGTGAGTTTGCACAGTATATTTTGCAAACCTTATGTGTGCTACGACTGTATAATACTTCATATGTTGCTCAGCTATGTCGTCTGAGTACAGCAATACCATCGTATGTACCTTTGCCAGGTATATGTGGATGTTGAAGGGGCGCATTTGAGACGCAGCCATTCAGTTTTTTTCTAACTTTGAAGTTTTACGCTGTGTCCATGTTCCAATTTGGAGTAGTTTAGACGGTTGGTTATTGAAACTTCCCCACAAACACATACTATTTATTAAAGAATACACCATGGGGTAATTCAAAAGGCATATTTTGAACCTTGGCGTGGGATAATTTTTTCTCTAGTTTGTTCCAGGTGTAGTGGTAATGAGCATTTTTAAATGTATTTTTTTACTTTTTGAAACTTTTTTACTTTTAAAAACTAGTTTTTAAACTTTTGTTTTGCTTATTAATTTTTTTTAAACTTTCCTAAACTTTCTTAAAACTTTTTTTTACAGATTTAACATTTTTCTAAGCTTTTTTTTTACCGTTAACCCCTAACTAGCAGTACGCAGCACTAACAGTAAATTCCCCATTTTCCCATAACTCCCACCCACCCCAGCTAGCAAAATATATAATTATAAAATATTTAAATTAATTAATTAAATAAATTGAACCCCTGAGGGTTAAAAAATAAATAAAAGTTAATCCTCAGGGGTTAAAAAAAATTAGATCACAGTATAATACTGTGATCTGTATTTTGATCACAGTAGGCAGTGATCGACTGGCAGGTAAGGGGCTAATTTTTATTTGGACTGGGTAAAAGGGGGGGTTTATTTTTTACTTAAACGTTATTTAAACTTTTTTTTAGCTTAATTTTTAACTTTTTAAAGTTTATTTTAAAACTTTAACGTTAACCCCTAGTTAGCCTAACACCAAATCCCCCAATTCCCCACTAACTTCCACCCACCCCAGCTAGTTAAAATATATCATTTTAAAATTTTTAAATTAATTAATTAAATAAATTTAACCCCTGAGGGTTAAAAAAAAAAGAATTAACCCTCGGGGGTTAAAAAAAAAAAATCAGATGACAGTAAAATGTAATCCCTGCCAATTGATCACTGTAGTCAGTGATCAATTGTCAGGGAAGGGGTTAATTTTTTATTAAAATTGGTAAAGATGGGTGGGATTTTAAATTAACTTTATTTTTATTTTTACACAGGGGGCAGGATCTTCACTGGTCCAGCTACCTGCACTTCACACAGATCCAGGAAGTGCAGGGAGGCGGAAGGTAAGTATACTGAGCACCTGTGCTCGCTCTGACTGGCTGTCAGAGCAAGCACATGTGCTGGGGCAGCACTATCGGGTGCTCCAGGTCTGCCTCTAATACAGAGGCAGACCAGAGCACCATTAACCCCGCGATCGGCGCAATAGCGGCGATCCAGGGTTAATTTAACGGGTGACGACAAGGTCCGTCACTCGTAGTTATGGCAATCCCCTGAGTGACGGTCGTCGTTAAGGGGTTAACTTATAAAAGTGTCAATTTCTATTGAAGTTTGCACTTTTTGCAAAAGGAAAAAAAGAGGACACACTCTTTACACATAAAGCTTTTCAGTCAGCTAAATTGCTCTGGAGGTCTGGAGTGTCCATTTAAGTAATCTAAAATTTTTCAGAACAGCTACGCCTCTGGTCACACCCTCACTTACATGCCTAAAATTATCTGTCACTCTTTGTCCATTTGAAATGTTGTGAGGAATAGTCTATGGAGTTCTATAGAACAAAAATAAGCCTTGGATTTTATAATTAATTGATTATTTAATAAAAGGGCCCTACCCAAAACTTGTGTACAGCAGAAAGGAAGCACAAGATCAACAACATGTACATGTCTTGTACCTGTACCATGGGGAAGCTATCACTGCTTATCAATTGCAGTTGAGGACTCAAAGTTTCAGTTGATACAAAGTTGAATCAGAGTTGAATTGTGAGCTCACTGTTAAAGAGTTCAAAATAAATATGTAGGGTGGAGTTTGAGCCTGAGCAGACACCATATAACACGGCTCTGCTAGAAATCGCTCTAAAAGCCTAATTTTTGGAAGCTAATACTCTCACCTGCATGGTTACTTGCGGGATCATACATCGAGCAGCCCCTGGTAACGACCTGTGCTGTTTTTACACGCTTCTAAAGCACCGCAGAAGAAATGCAGATCTGGGGCCTACCACGCTAACCCAGACCTTGATTTGGCTGCACTGTTTGGCGGTTTCGCATCCCAGACAGAGCCTACCTCCACTATGGGACGGCTGTCCCAGAAGCTGCATCCTGACATATCCTCAGGATCAAGAGACATTGTGGCTCTGTTGCAGCGGCAGCCCCAACCTAAAATGGCTCCGCCCGAAAGCAGCGCGTTCATGGAGGCTCCCCTGGGCCCTTTACAGGCCGAAACACCCTCGTGGCCTGAGCTGCCAAATACGGAGCAAACCACACTGGCTGTCCCAGACGGGTCGGTTCCTGTTACTAAACAGGATTTTCAAAACTTGATGGTGGAGATTAAGAACCTACTGGTGTCTGATGTAGCAATCATCGAAGCCAACATGCAGACGTCACTGACCGAGTGAGAGCGGCAGAGGAGGACATTGTGGATCTCAAACAGGGTATGATCACTGTACAGGACGCCCTACAATCCATGCAACAATCTCTCTCACTTCATTACACCGCACTAGATGACCAATCTAGATGAAATCATCTGAAGTTCAGAGGCATACTACATGAGGCGCTTGGTGGCCTCCATCCTGCCACCCATTCTTGCCAAAAAATTCACCCTGGATGGAATCTATCGTCTCCATAAGTCCAACAGGGTCCCAGCGCCTACAGTGCAAGATGTCATAGCACGCTGCTTCCTCTCCCAAGATAAAATAATCATATGGTCAGCACTACAAGGCAAGACACCTTATGTCTTTGAAGGCTCAAGCCTTACCTTCTATCAAGACCTCACACTGTCCACCTAACAATGGCAGCGATCCCTCCACCCACTCACAAGCCAACTGAGAACGGCTGGATTCAAATACCGGTGGATGTAACCCAAGCTCCTAGTGTTTACCCATGAAGTAACAGTCCACAAGATATCATCACTTGCGGAATCTCCTACCCTCCTCACAGCCTTGGGCCTACCTATGCTTACGACAAGCAGCCAAGCACCTACATTTGGGATCCTTCCCAAGTTGTGCCTTTTTTCCCTAGTGGCAGCTCTGCCTCACAACCGAGGACTTGACATTCCTTATGGGATATATACCCGTTTGCAGATATTGTTTATATATATATTTGCTCTTTAATTTATTATTTATATCTCCACCTACAAGGTATTACCGTTCCTAGATTTTCTACTCAATCGCTACCCAGTAGGTGTCTAGCTCCACACCTACCTGCTCTCCCCCCAGTCATCCCCTTGGTTAAGGGTACTACCAAAGGACGGCCTGTTTTTTAATTAAAATGTTGTAGTCCTTGCCATTACTCAATTTACGTAATCTTAGTTCATTATTGTACGCAGGGGCAGACTGACCACTCGGGCACATCGGTCATGGACCGAGGGCCCGTGGCAGTCAGGGGCCCGGGGCAGCTATGGCTGGGCTGGGAAGATTAGAGGATTTCCCCAACCAGCCCAGCATCAAGGCAGCAAAGTTAGTGAGACCAGTTCCCCAACGGGTGCGCTCTGTGTTAGAATAGAGGAGGGGATAGGGAGTGACATCACAACCCCTCCTCTCTTACACAAATACAGAGCGCCCACCGCATGTGTGAAGGAGGAGGAGCAGCTGTGATGGTAACAGCGACATGCTGCTCAGGGGAGGATGGAGAGAGCCAGCCTGAACAGACTGAAATGCAAGGTATGATGGGGCATGATAGCAGTGTAGGCACCAGAGGAGGGCTTGGGGGGCAGGAGGAGGAGAATTTGAAGGAATTGAGGGCATGGTGAGATACAAACAAAGGGTGACTGCAAAATAAGTAGACTTTTACATACATGCAATCAGACATGCACTCAAACTGACACACTGGGGGGCGGCATCAAGGCAAGTGCCCTCAGAATGTCCTGGGAAGCTGCTGTCCAAACTTCCTCCTCTCTCAGACCCCTCCCATCCCCCCCTCTATGAACATAAAACACAGCCCCCTGGCAGCTTCTCCCTTAGATCTGCACCCCTTAAACAAGCTACAGGGGCCAAAGTCAGCAGCACCTCCGCCCCCAGCTTCAACCATGTGGCCATGCTGACCGGAACAAGCTGGGAGACTAGGAGCAACTTGCAGCTCTTCAACCACAGCAAGGGGTGAGAGACAGTGATATTGTGTGTGCTAGTGTGCTGTGTGTAGTGACCTTCTGTGTGCATGTTGTGAGCTGTGTGTGTGTGTGTGTCAGTGTGCTGTCTGTAGTGAACTGTGTGATCTTGCATAATTGGGTATATTAGTGAGCTTGTGTGTAGTGAGCTGTTTTTATTGAGCTTGTATGTATCCAAAATCTTTGTGCAGTGATTTTTCTGTAGTGCGCTTGTGTGTCTGTGGCTGAGCTTGAGAATATGTCAGTGAGCTTGTGTGTAGTGAAATTGTGTACATATCAGTGAGCTGTCTGTGGTGAGCTTGGGATCTTGTGTGTGTGTGTTTGTGTGTCAGTGAGCATTCTGTAGCTCGCTGTGTGTAGTGAGCGTGTGTGCGCGTCAATGAACTATCTATAATGAGTTCTGTAAGTTTGTGTGTAGTTAACTGCTTGTGCATTTACACCATACTGGAAGTATGTATATTCAAAACAGCACATGCATTGACGCGGACAAAGTGCAAAAGTGTTTACGATGATTATAACACTAAGATACAAACATGCCTTCATACACATACCCTCACACCATATACAAATAAAAAATGCACACTTATTTGAAACATAAGGGGACCTATAGGGGATTTTGCCCAGGGGCCCAGAAGGCTGTCAGACCGCCCCTGACTGTACGTACTCTCATTCAGCCTGTCTCTACCCCTCAGTGGACCGTTCATGGATAACATTATTGATGTTCGGTATTTCTTGTCATGTGCATGTTCTTTTCTTACCTGATCTCAATTGTAATCAATCCATACATGTCTAAATCCCACTTTTAAAGAATGTGCAGTATACATACCACTTGCCACTCAACCATCACAATATGCCTTACGAAATGCTCGCTACAACTGTTGCAGTAGGATGGTGAGCCAGTTCGTTTTTTGTTTTTTTAATGCACAACAAAAATAAAGAATTATAAAAAAAAAAATTAAAAATCAATATGTATTGTTACCAGTAATAAATCTATAGGATTTAGCTACTACTTCCTTAGGTCAAGGATAAACATTTTGGAGTATGAGAAGTACTATCAATCTGACAATGTTATTACATAAATAAAAGATAAATAATAAACACGAAAAAAAGAGGTGAAATGGCGCTAAGTAATTATATGTATAAATCCCAGTACAGCAAAAAAACAAACCAGTGTTGTAGTCACCTTACAAAACACTTACATGTACAAAATTGGATAAAAAGAGGAAGTTTTGCGCACACGTTGGAAAATGTGATAATCTGTAACATAAATAGCTATCATAGGGTAATATGTAAACAATACTATGTATATATGATAGTAACTGGGAACACTCACAATTTAGAGAGCCATATAAGTCGGCTCTCTACTTGTAAAAACTCGTCAAATAATTCCAAGCAGAGCTGTATACCAAATGGTCCCACCAAGTGCAGATAAGAAGTATCATCTGGATACAGTCAGGAACTCAAGGTAAGTAGAAAAATCTTTTATTCCAATGAAGATATTGACTTAGTTGGGAGATAAGGCTAGAAATCACCAGGACTGTGCATGAAAAATTTTTCCAATACGCTGCACAGACAAGGACAAATCCAGAAGAGTAGTCAGACAATGTTCCAAAAGTCAGGGCAGGCAAAGTTTTATCCTGTTTCCTAAACTGACTTGGCTTGTGACCCTTTCTTCTTGGATTATCCGTTATTGCCTGTTTGTGCCTGCCCTGACTTTTGGAACATTGTCTGACTACTCTTCTGGATTTGTCCTTGTCTGTGCAGCGTATTGGAAACATTTTTCATGCACAGTCCTGGTGATTTCTAGCCTTATCTCCCAACTAAGTCAATATCTTCATTGGAATAAAAGATTTTTCTACTTACCTTGAGTTCCTGACTGTATCCAGACGATACTTCTTATCTGCACTTGGTGGGACCATTTGGTATACAGCTCTGCTTGGAATTATTTGACGAGTTTTTACAAGTAGAGAGCCGACTTATATGGCTCTCTAAATTGTGAGTGTTCCCAGTTACTATCATATATACATAGTATTGTTTACATATTACCCTATGATAGCTATTTATGTTACAGATTATCACATTTTCCAACGTGTGCGCAAAACTTCCTCTTTTTATCCAAAAGATAAATAATACCAAATAAATTAAAAATAATTTTTATTTCATCTGGCACATTGTGATTCTGTCTCTAAGTTTACTTTTAATAAAGAAGTCCCAATCATTAGATTATATGTTAGTAGCATTGAATCCAGTCATTTAGAAAAAAGTTGGCTTTATACTGACCCATTCTTGCTTGTGGAACAATAATATACAGTGTCCTCCACTAATATTGGTACCCTTGGTAAATATGAACAAAGAAGGTTGTGAAAATTGTCTTTATTGTTTAACCTTTTGCCCTTTTGTATAAAAAAACATAAATACTCTACTCTCATGGATATCAAGCAATTGCAAACACAACATTGGTTTATCAAAAAAGAAAATATTTGTTAAATATATGTGTGGCACAATTATTGGCACCCTTTGAGTTAATAATTTGTGCTATCTCCCTTTGCCATGATAACAGCTCTGAGTCTTCTCTTATAATGCCTGATGAGCTAGAGAACATATGGCAAGGGATCTGAGACCAGATCCTAAAATTCCAAGGTCGATGCTGGTGGAGTCTCCTCTTTAGTTCACTCTACAGGTTTTCTATGGGGTTCAAGTCCGTGGCCTGATATTTCAATGGCAGGACCGTATTGTGGTCAATAATCCATTTTGTGTTGATTTTGATGTATGTTTGGGATCTTTGCTTTGTCCTGTTGAAAGATCCAACCACATCCCAGGTCCTATGGAAGAAAACAGCCCCAAAATATTAAAGAGCCACCACCACATTTTACCGTGGGCACGAGATACTCTTCCTCATTGTTACCGCTCATAGTGCACCAAACCCACTAAAGGTGTTTATTGCCAAAAAGCTCTTTTCCAGTAGTATCTGGCAAACTAAAGACGTTTGTTTTTTAGAGTAGACTTTTTTGTTGTTGTTGTTGTTGTTGTTACCCTTCCAAACAACTTTCCGTGATGTAGGTGGTGATGTAAGTTACATTGAATTGTAGTTTTGGAGACTTTTGACCACAAGACGGAACTAACTTCTGCAATTCTCCAGCTGTGATCCTTGTAGATACTTTGGCCACTCAAACCATCCTCTCTACAGTTCGATCAGACAATTTAGACAATATGGACACAGTTCTCTTCCAGGTTGTTTCATAACATTTCCAGTTGGTTGGAACTTATAAATTATTGCCCTGATGGTGGAAATGGGCATTTTCAATGCTATTGTGATTTTCTTAAAGCCACTTCCCATTTTGTGAAGTTCAACAACATTTTGCCTGACTTCACAGCTATATTCCTTGCTCTACCCCATTGTGATGAATGACTAGGGGAATGTGGCCTATGTGTCACCTCATATTTATCATATAAGTCGTGGTGGAACAATAAGCAAACCCAGGTGTACAAAAATATAAAATATAAATAGGAATATACCTCAAATATATTTTTCTCATATGAATTCATAGGAGTGACAATCATTGTGCCACACCTATTAATGATTTAAACATTTTTTTTGGGGGGGGGGGGGTAAACGTGTTGTGTTTGCAATTGTTTGATATCCATGAGAGCAGAATATTTTATTTCCTACTCAAGCATAGAGGTCACAGAGCAGAGCCTCTCATACCATTATAATTTGTTTTAACTGTACGCATTACATTTTGCCATTATTTTCTTTCTACACCTCCCTCACTCCATATTGCAATGGTTCTATATATTATTGTATATATATAATATTGTAAAGCGCTACGGAATCTGTTGGCGCTATATAAATGATAATATAATTTAGGTAGATGCAGTGAGAGCAAAGTACATAAGTATATTTATAATTAATTTTAGCGGAACATAGTTATGTTATTCTTTATTTTATTATAATAATATGCACAGGTTCCAAAACTAGGCATAACCTAGAAAGACAGGCCCACGAGAGGCAAGGACAGAGACACTGTCACAGTCTGAAATTTATTATGAAGTCATAGCCTCTGACATTCCAACGAATAAGGAAGGCTTTAAACGAGGGCGCCTACAGTAGGGCTTAAGGGCATTGAGGTTGTAGAGTAGAGCCTTTCACACTTTTATATTTTCATTTAAAAGTGCACAATTATGTTTTGCAAATTTTTCCTCTCTGCACTTGCTTTCTATTGCAATGTCAGGTTTTATATAACTTAGGTAGAGCAGTAAGATCATATCATATAAGTAACCTATATTTAATTTCCTCTGTGTATAATTATGTTTTTCTATTATTTCCTTTATATAATTGTGCATATGCTGCAAAATCTGGGCTTGCATAACCTAGAAAGACAGGCACACGAGATGCAAAGACAGGGGCGCTGCCATAGTCTGTGGCTTTTTAAAAGATCACAGACCCTGAAAGGCCAACAAACTAGTAATGCTCAGCCCCATTACAACCTCTAACGCTTCAAACAGGGGGCACCAACGCTGGGGAATTGGCATAAAATGAAAGGGGTTACAAAGAATGAGATAGATTGCTGAATTTATTATTATTATTGCCATTTATATAGCGCCAACAGATTCTGCAGCGTTTTACAATATTATGAGGAGGGATTTAACTATAAATAGGACAATTACAAGAAAACTTACAGGAATTATAGGTTGAAGAGGACCCTGCTCAAACGAGCTTACAGTCTATAGGAAGTGAGGTATAAAACACATTAGGACAGGAAATAGCAATCAAATAAGGTGGCAGTGAAGCAGTGCTGGAGGAGAGAGTAGAGTGCTGCCCTTTAGGAGAGAGCAAGAGACTGGTATGTGAGGTAGAGGTTACTCTGGGAGCCCACAAGCTGGGTTTTAAGACACTTCTTAAACGATTGAAGACTAGGGGAGAGTCTGATGGCGGTAGGCAGGCTATTTCATAGGAAGGGAGCCACCCGTGAGAAGTCCTGCAAGCGTGAGATGGCCGTACGGGTGAGAGTAGTGGACAGGAGAAGGTCATGTGCAGAGCGGAGAGACCGAGAAGGGGCATACCTATGATTCCGTGAAGAGATATAATTGGGGCTGGAATTGTGCTTGATAAGTATGGGTAAGCAAGCCTGAAAATGTAGATGGCAATTAAACACATACGTAACCAATAATCTAATGCATTTTCTCTGCAGTAAAGTTAATCATTTATGGTCTGTCCCATGTGCATAAGGAATATCTTGTAGTAATTGTAAGAAACAAACTCTTTATGGGTACATTTGTTTGTTATGTACATAAAGCATATATTTAAACTAATATAGGCATCATATTTTCTAGACATGGGTCTCCTGCTGGAACACATGATCTCAGTTAAGAGAGAGAATGTTCAAGTTCCTCTAATCTAATCCAAGACAACAGGAAAATTCTTAGAAAGCAAAGAGTTAGCAGTTATATAGACTTAAATATGCAGCTCAAGAACAATGTTAATGCTTTTTAGTGTCATCAAGGGACTCTTTTGACTAGTTAACAATACTTTTGAGAACTACAAAAGAGAAAAATAATAACAAAGGCAGTGGAAAAAATGTTATGCAAACCAGAAGTACTGATTATTTGTCAACAAAAAAGTGACCACTAATTTGCTTTAACAAAGAAAAAAAACAACAATTTAACCTAATTAATCTGAGAGGTTTCAAGGCAATGCAAGGGGCAATTTGTTAAGCCATAAAAGAACATACAAGTGTTATGTGTTAATAGGCAAACTAAAAAAGAAAAGAGCTAATGCTACTTTATAAAAGCCTATGGAAAGCTTGTATAAATTGAAGTACATATGACATTTCCATTTTATTTATCTGTTCGTCTTTTATTGATTAAAAAAAACTGTGGTGTTTAAAGAGAGCACCACGTGTCACAAATTCTATATTATTTTTATATCCAAATAACTTAAAAGATTCTCAGCACTCAGGCAAGAGTTTAAAGTAAACATATTTTACCACCTCAAGAGGGGACCATTGTCACACCTACTTTAATGCGTATTATCTCTGAATACCTGGACCAGGGCTGGAATAGCATAGGGGCTAATAGAGCTGAAGTACCAGGCCCGTGCCCATGGAATAAAATTTCACTACTCTCCACATGCTCTTGCTTTGTGCAGAGGGAATGAAGTATGGAAACTTAAGAGGGATGTAGGTGAACAAAATGTGTGTGGAATGGCAGACAATGAAATTAATTAAGGTAAAGCCCTTAGTTGGCCAGCCTCTGATTGCCAGGCAGCCGGACATGCATTTACGCCAGGCTGACATACCAATTATTGAGGCAGATATGCTCCCATTCTGTCCATGTCTGCCCCTTTGGGCAGTGCCAGTTACGTAACTCACATCAATGGCACTCCCTTTTAAGCTGACCACCAATGTCCTGCTTTACTGTACGTTACTGTTAGTGGGCATGGATTTGATTGAGAGATGAAAGCAAGAGACTAGCATAGGGTATGTGTTTTTTTTTTATAGCTGCATCTGTGAGTTTCATTCCAGCACCACCAGATACATGACTCTTGGGAGGTATGACTGTTTTAGTGTGTTCCGTTAATAATATTCTGAAACAAGGCCCATTGTAATTGTCAGCAGCAATCCCAATGGGTACTTAATCCTGCCCTGAACTTAAAGGACCACTATAGTGCCAGGAAAACATACTCGTTTTCCTGTCACTATAGTGCCCTGAGGGTGCCCCAACCCACAGGGTCCCACTTCCGTGGTGCTGAGGGGGGAGGAAGGGGTTAAACGTACCTCTTTCTCCAGCACCGGGCGGGAGCTCTCCTCCTCCTCTTTGGCTGAATGTGCATGCGGGGCAGGAGCTGCGCATGCATTCAGACAGTCTCATAAGAAAGCATTCACAATGCTTTCCTATGGACGCTTGCGTCTTCTCACTGTGATTTTCACAGTGAGAATCACGCAAACGCCTCTAGCGGCTGTCAATGAGACAGCCACTAGAGGCTTTAGAGGCTGGATTAACCTATTTATAAACATAGCAGTTTCTCTGAAACTGCTATGTTTATACAAAAAATGGGTTAACCCTAGCTGGACCAGGCACCCAGACCACTTCATTAAGAGTGGTCCTTTAATGTTTTGGAGAAAGCAGAGCCTCTTGCTCATGACACTTGGTGGTTGATTTTATGACACAAGCAGCTCAGCACACTATTAATTAGAGTTGTACATTTGATTTCTCCTGAATTACGATTCATCTGAAATTTGAGCGATCAAGGGGTCATCGGAATTACCAAAGCACCATATGACTGAATGACAATGCAAAAGCAATCAAATGGACAATGGACAAGCCTTATTGTTTAATACGTGATTCGGATTTCCTTGGTGGCAATAAAAGCCTGGATTGAAGGGAAAAAAGCTGATTAATAGTTAGAGGAAGCCACCAAATGTTGATTCTATTGACAGATCAAGCGAGAAGTGACCCAATTGTATTGGTTACTTCTCGTTTAACTTGTGAACCAAATGGTGTGAAAATGTGGCTGTCATTGTCCACCCAAAATATACATAATATTTACATTTTGCAGTGCATTGAGTGGCCAATTTTGGTTGGTCCAAATTGCTTTTACCATGACAATTGCATGGACGAAAACACCACGTGGACAAAACCTGAATCAATCGAAACAAGAAAAAATTAATTTTTGAACGAATTTATTCACACACGTCTACTATTTATCTAAACATGTTTTGTTGACATTTTACATACTGCTGCACTGTGCAAAGTTTTGGATAGCTTTGCATAGCTTTCATTTTATTTACAGAAACCTCTCCAATTCCTGTGTATACTATGAAATAAAGAGAGATTGATTTTACACACTTTAACATTTTTGCTATTTGTGTTGGGAACAATTCTCTCACTGAAGATAAAGCTCTCCAATTTATCCTCTCAGAGTACAGCTATCTCCCTGACCTTACATAGAAAATGTGTCTGTGGTTAACACTGATATACCATGATGTATATCCTGCTAACTTGATTTACGACAAGCTTGACATCATGCATAAACACTATGAGGCATTGCTTTTCTGTCTTTTGGCTAAGATCAAGTTTAGTATTCATATTGTCTCTACACTGTGAAATGTTGATCTTTACTTTGACTAGGGCAGGGGTAGGCATCCTTCAGCACTTCTGATGTATTGGACTACATCTCCCAGAATGCTCCTACAGAGAAATGCTGGCAAAGCATCAGGGGAGATGTAGTCCACAACATCTTGAGTCCATGCAGGTTTTGTGTGCATGGTCGGTGCGCTCACTCATAACTTAATTCATTTTTGTTAGGCATTTTTACTCACTTTCTTTTTTTTTTTTTTTTTTTGACAATCAATTTTTATGTAATTTTTTAATAATAAGACAGGGGTGTAAGAATAATAAGCAGGAATAAGTTGTGCTTCGTTCGAGTGTTCAAGGTCTTACATTGTCATAAGTGATCCAATACAAAGATAGTTTACAATTCACCATTGTATGTCATTAGTTTTCCACCGGTTAAGATTAGTCTGCGTATACATAGTTTGTTCTATGCTATCTCGTATCTTTTGTGAGTTGGTACAAGATTTCACTTATAATACTTCGTATTCCCTCATTTATATCACTTTGACTCTGTTATGTGGGGATGAACAGAGTCGGTGTGGGCATTGAACCGAGTCTGGTGTTCTGTTTGTCGCACGTACCGGGCTCAGGACGCGTCAGAACATGACGCGTAGGCTACGGGTCTGAGACCAAGCATGTGGGGTTAGGGCGCTCCAGACCGTCCTGAACTTGGGCTTGTGGTCATTGTCCGTTTCGTGTGCCCACTGTGTAGATGGGTGTGTGTGGCTAACTGGTCTCCAAGGTAATGGATTGGGTGTATAGATTGGGGCGTGGTTCTGTTTGTAAGCCATCTTTCATGTCTGTCAGGAGTGGGGTCTTTTTGTGTGGGGTCGCCTTTGTCCCTTACTATGAAGTGTAACTTAGGTCCGGGACGTCCAGGTTGCCTAGTGTGTTTATTCTGCCGCTGCCTAGGAGGTCTGGGCTCTTCTCCACAGCTGTGGTCTGGTCAGTCGGGGGTCCAGATCCTTTTCAGTGCTACACATTTACTGTGAGTCCCAGTCCGGCCCGTTAGTCGGGCCTGTCTAGTCTGGAGGGGCACTTTCTCTTCACTATTTGTAAGCACACCGAACATACCACAGTGATGCCAAGTCTGAAAAACCAATTTGAAGACGATCAGGGTTATTTACTTAAGAGAAGTCAAAGTGAAATATAAGGTCTAATTAGCCTAACTGGAACAATTCTACAAGCTAGCTATGTTTTCAGTTTGGCTACATTGGCCTTAACTTTTAAATTTACTTTGAGTTCTTAATTTAGTAAATAATGTGCTTTTTGGTGGAATAGATAAGTCTTTGCTTTATACCTGACATCTCACACTGAAGACCATCTGTTCCGAAGGATGGACCACGTAAGGCATAGCAACTGCAGAAGGCACTAGAAGTAGAATGTACATGATCATAAAGTAGTGAGACCTCCCCTCCGTGCCTGGTGTTCCCATAGACTGGCTCCCATGGTAACCTTGCAATAGTTAAAATACAGACTACTTATAGAGCAGTCAGCTGTAATACTGTTCACATGACTATGAATCAAAATCCTGTCTGGGAAGCAAGTGCTACATATAGACCTATGGTGCTCTATTAAAAATAGGGAGACACGTAAATTAGGGGGAGGGCACACAAGTCAGTTCACTCTACTACGTTCACCAACATCCCATTCATATGAGTTGCAGGGTTATTAAAGGGATTCTATAGTGGCAGGAAAAGAAACCCGTTTTCCTGGCACTGTAGAATACTACAGTGTCCCCCTCCCTCGCGCCAATCCTCCAGCGCTGCTGAAGGGGTTAAAACCCCTTCAGTCACTCACCTGAATCCAGGGCCGCTGTCCCTCAATGCTAGGTTAAGCTCCATCCACGCTCCTCCCCTGCCGCGAGGGAGACCTAAAGCGCATGCGCGGCAATTGCTGCGCTCGCATTAGGATTTCCCATAGAAAGCATTATTCAATGCTTTTCTATGGGGTAAAATCTGATGCTGGAAGTCCCCATGCATAGCATGAGGACGTCCAGTGTCTGGTAGACAGCCACTAACTCTCAAAAACTGCAAAAATTACCTTTGCAGGGTTAAGGGACATGGAACATTGCACCCAGACCACTTAAATGAGCTGAAGTGGTCTGGGTATCTTCAGTGTCCCTTTAAGGACCTTAGAGGCTTCCTCTTAGTTTTTTGGCATTCTGACTAATGAAACTGAACTACTAACCTGCCACATACTGGTTGAGGTGACAGAAAAGGGTCTGGGGTATCTCTTCTTCACTTTTGTCTATCCTTTGCACTCACTGCACATCTGGCAGCCTTCTCTTGCTAGTATGGAAATCCTACATTATTTCCTCATACACATGGAGTGAAGTAAAGGAGATAGATAGTTCTCTTTCCTTAGCAGCTAACTGTTTACAAAAATTATTTCCAAATTTTATCCAGTCTTCACTTCTATCTATATTATATGTTCTACTTTCCAAAAGGACAGAAAGGGCCTGTATAGTTTCAACCGCAAATTATATAATGTAAACTGTGGAATTAAACTATCTGGATTACATCCAAGCTGTGTGAGCTTGATTTAGTGGGAGGCTCTGTTATATAATAATTTAGATGGCCATTTTACATTTGCTTGCAAAATTACCGTACAATAATTCTGCAATTTAAAACTCCAAACCATGTGAACCTTTAGTAACCCGAACAGTAAAATAAAATCCATACAAAATGGACAAAAATACAGACATACAAAAAGATGAGGAATATAGCGCAGTAAGCTTTGCATTGGATTATGGGTCTATAAAGCTACAGAAAAATATATAATATATTTAATATATAATATAATATATAAAGAGTAGGTTGTCAAATATGAGCCATTTTCAAAGAAATTTAAGAATTCTGATTCCACTTTAACTATTATAGCTGTTAATATTACTAAACTTTTTTAGGATTTGTGAGGATTTTAATTGACAGACCCAAACGTGGTAATTTAAAAGTCAGAACTTTTAAAGGATCACTATAGTGTCAGGAAAACAAAGCGGTCCCCCTCCCGTGGCGCTGAAGGGGTTAAAGCCCCTTCAGCAGCTCACCTTATTCCAGCGCCGGTCTCCCTCGGCGCTGGCTCCCCCGCCGACGTCAGCGGAGCCGAATGCGCATGTGCGGCAAGTGCCGAGCGCGCATTCAAAGTGTCCATAGGAAAGCATTTCTCAATGCTTTCCTATGGACGCTTTGCGCGATGGAGGCATAATATGCCTCCAGCTTCGCAGATGCGCCTCTAGTGGCTGTCCGGAAGACAGCCACTGGAGGCTGGCTTAACCCCAAATGTAAACATAGCAGTTTCTCTGAAACTGCTATGTTTGCATCTGAAGGGTTAAAACCTGAGGGACCTGACACCCAGACTACTTCATTGAGCTGAAGTGGTCTGTGTGACTATAGTGTCCCTTTAATATTAAACAACAACAAAAAATCAATGTCTCAAAATCAGAGATTAGAAAACTGCTAGAAAACTATAATATTTATATACGTAGTTGAGTCTATATCAAAGAGAGGAAGATGTTTTATTCAACAGCACACAATTGTTACACCTGTACAAATTGTATGTCTGTCTGAGAGGAGTACTTTGCTGTCAATGAAGAAAACAAAATAGGTATTATCTTGGGATCAGACCTTGCCTCCGTTTTGTCTATTTTTAGGAGACTAATTCACTACAAGGAAGATTTAAATGGTGACTCAATGACACTGTTAGATTCTTCACATATAAATGAAACTTTGGGGCAAAATATGATAGAATACTATAGACTTAACCTAAACATGATGATGAAATATTTTACAACATAGCTTGCACATGAGGCAGAAATAAAGGGGTACAGCCTAGGCTCAATTGAAAACACTACAAGAGGGAAATAACAAAGTACTCTCTAAAAGTACTCATTCATAAATTTTAAATAAAACACATGACAACTTAATATAGCTCAGATAGTTATGTCAGAAGCTCTTATATAAAAAGAAGAGTCTAACTATTTTGTTTATACCAAACTATAAAGCTCATAGTGCAAAAATGATATTGTACTTGCCTCTTTAAAAACTATTTCTGCTTAATCACATATCCCTCGGCAAAACTTTCTATTCAGGCTCTCTTTCAAATAAATTATGTATAATTAACGATACAAGGCAAGGATGTCCTTTATCCTATTCATTTTAATTTTGGCAAAAGAGTCATTAGTTGAAAAAAATAAAACAAATCAGATCTTCAGATAGTAAAGAATTACTCCAAACCTTTTCAAAGATATGTTTCTTTTTCTAGAATGACCTATTGGAGATTAGTTATTAGGTCCCCAACTTGTAAATGCTTTAAAATAAAAAATAAAGTTGGTGTTCAGTGCCTGGTGAACCTTCCCATGCTGGTTTCTATGCCCATCTGACATCAAAGTGAAGCAATTGATTGGACTATTCTAACTGACCTGAGAGGGTATATGTGCGCTCAAAGCCAGGGAGGGGAGAGAAGCGAGTGGACAGTGGAGGGAGTGTTTTATAAATAAAACAATAACAATGGATGGAAACATGAAGGGAGCGCACCAAGGAAGGGTGAACACAGTCAAGCCTCGGACAGAGTAATGTGTACCGTGAGTGTGACTAGCCCCCAGCATCAAAGTGTACATATTGCACAAACACTGCACATACTGATTCCTACTGCCATGACCGCTTCTAAAAGTTGAAGTGGTCATGAATGTTGGAGTAACCCTTTAAACAGGGAGCACTAACTGGCATTTTATGCAGATTGTATGATCCTAGTCATCATCAACCTGGTTAATTTCTTTAGGTGGTATAGATCAATTATTTAAGAAATATGGAGAAGTATAGTTCAATAAGAAAGGGCAGATATTTTTAGGGTACATCAACTTATTGATTCCGAAATTATTTCCTTCTTTTATTTACAATAAAATGCTTTTCAAATAACTATTTATCTAGTTCACAGTGAAACAAAGCTTACCGATAAACACTGTGCATTATGTAAAACATAAATCATTCTGGCAAATAATGTAGTATAATCTAGATTAATTAGATCTCTATAGCTTTGCTATGATATCATAGCTCACTATATGGAAATACAAAATTTCCATATATGAAACAACCTATAAAAAACTAAAAAACATTGCTCTATCACAAATGCATGGTATGACTGGATCATTTGGAAATGTGTAGGAAATTATACATGCAATGGTGTTTCCCAATGATTGGGTGGAGGAAATGTTGTTAAAGGGACACATTAAGCACCCAGACCACTTTGTTTCGTTGAAGTGGTCTGGGTGCAATGTCCCTGTGCACTTAATCCTGGAATGTAAAACTGCAATCTATTTACAAATACTGCCTACAGTGGCTGTCTATCAGATTGTCCTGAATTCGGCTGGACAGTCAAGATTTCAAATCTCCATCAGAGAAGGGACCAGGTACCACAGAAAAGTCACCATAAAGAATTTCTACAAAGAGTGGTTTAGCAGCTCTGTCTTTATGGCCAGCCTTGATTGGAAAATTTGTAGGGCTGTCAACTGTGCATGAATCAACACAAGGATGTCACACAGATAAAAGTCACACATGCTTGTGAGAGGAAGTTTTTTGTTGAATTGCTGGAGCAACAAACAGACATCTGTGTCTCCTGCTGCATAATTCCATCATTTAGGGAACTAGCTTGGCAATAAAACAGACCACAAATATAACTGATGGAGGCAAATTACTTTAAATATTTCCCGGCCAGGGAAGTGGTCACTTAATGATCTCCTGCAGCACCATGCAGGAAACTAGGAGATTTAAAATAGGGAAATAATAAGGCCACTGGCCTTGGTATAATACACAGTTGCTCAGTGGATTCTAAATTCTATAATACATATAGAAGCATAATGATACAAGCATAATGGATACATGTAAAAATTAACAGGGATGGTATAATCTTTATGAATTACATAATTTGAAGCCACGTTCTCCTTGTTAAAATAACAACAGGCAAGCCGAATTTTCAATAAGGCAGAGTAGGAACCAGCCTAGATTCACATGTCCTGTAGGGAACACTTATTTAGCATTTATATTGTGCCTTTATGTAGATTATGTGGGCTGGTGAGGACATAAGTACCAGGAACCTTGGTCAATGTCCTTAAGAGCAGAGAGAATAGCTGCAGGAACAATTATAGATGGTTTAACCAAAGTGACACCACCAGTGTCTGCGTGTGAGATTGGACAGGAAGTGGAAGGGATCACTTCCTATCTGCTCACTACCAGCCTCTCATACAGGAAATGCTTTGCAGGGGTAGGGACAGCAATGAGTGATTTCACACTGTATAGCAGCTTTTTCAGTTTTACTAGCAATCATAGTTCGGTGAGTACTTTGCAAATAACCCTCCAAACTCCATATACCTGTGTAGGAAATTATCCATGCAATGGATTGTAACATATTGTAAGAATCCACCTGTAACAAACAGGGAGACAATATTTACTTATTGTAACATAGTGTAAGATGAAATCTGATATATATTATATATGGAGTGAAAAAAATCAATTATACAAGCTTTTATTAACTAATAGTCTGGAATTGTAATAAAAAGAAATCTATAAAAAGCAATTAGATAAATTAAACTAGAAATTGAGACAATGATTATCTCCCAATCCTCTGAGCTTCTACATGCACATTCTATAATCAAACACAAACCAGTTAAAAGTTCATTAAGGAGAGGCAGTGGTCACAATTTTATGTGAGCTGGAGCATCAAAAATGCTAAAGAACCTGTTAAGGCATCTCATCGGCGACAGAAAGACTGCTGGTGCTGCTGCACTGGGGCTCGCAAGCTGGGGGCCCATCGGGTGGCCCACGCATTTAAGTCCACCCAATGGACATCTCTAATTAGAGGCCTGACTGGGGGTTAACAGGGTAACAGGGTCCCGATCAGACTGGCAGTTCGGCTGTGGTGCTGGGAGAAAGTGAGCACAGTTAACTTCCTGCCAGCTTTTACATAGCCACGTTGGGAGGCAGAGTTATGAGGAAGAGGCCGGAGTGTGGATTGACAGTCAGATTCAGACTCTCAGCAGCCTCAGTCAACACCTTCTGCAGCAAAATTCTACTGGGCCTCAGGGAAGCCACCCTCCTACACCCAAAAACATATAGAAACAGGAGGGTTGCTAAAAATATTGAAATTATGACCTATATGTCTCTGTGTGTATGTGTGTGTATCAGTGTGCATCTGTATGTGTGTGTGGCAGTTTATGTGTATAAATGCATACATCCTGGAAATCAAATGCCAACACTACATACAAACACATTTCTGTATTAAAACATCATATGTAAACACACACCTAGATTTAAACATCAATACTACACAAATGCACACCTGTATTCAAATGCCAGCCCTTACATACAAACACACCCCTGCATTCAAACACTAAGTAAACCACTGCTTTCAAATGGCAAAAATACAAAGAAACACACAACTGCATTAAAATGACATACAAATACACCACTACATTCACACACACATACTCCATACAAAAACATTACATTCAAACACACAAATACAACCCTGCAAGAATGGGTTTAATTTTTGCTGTAGTAGGCCCCATCAAGCATACAATAATTATTTTGTAGGCTTTCTGTAACTATTTTCAAAAATGAAATGTGTAACTTAAAGTGAATTGTGCTGTGTATGTACTACAAATGTTAGAAGCCTTGCAAGGAAAAGTATTTCATCCCCCCCCCGCAAAAAAACCCCAACATATATATTTAGTAGGACGTACAAAGTGTCAGAGATAAGCTATCGCCTGACACCTGTATTAGTTCACATGGGATTGAAGGTTGTACAACTGTTGCACTCTAGTAGCTAATACTCCTGCTAACAAGTCTACCAGAGGCAGTGCCTCTAGTTAATTACCAGCGACAAACAACAATACTGATTATAGGAAAATAAACACAATTTAAGTTTAAGGAAAAGAAATTGATATATTTATTTTTCACACACATATATATATATATATATATACATACACACACACACACACACACACTATATGTATAGTGTAAATATATATATTTTCTAAGTATTAATAAGCTAAAGAGAAAAAAATCCTTAAAGAAAAAAAAATGTAAATTAAATCCACTAGGATATTCTGTTTCATAAAGCAGATGTAGCTGTTTTTTGTTTAATTCTTTCTTTTGGGGTTTAGTTTAGCAGCCGTTACACATTAGTAATAATCTTCTTGGTGTTAACAGCCACAGGCTACAAAATGTAAGGCTATATTGGCTCCTTTTCCTCCACTTCTGGAAGATAAATGAACTGAACAGCAGACAGAAGGAACAGACAATTATAAAAATAAAAAAATAAAAATGTACAAAAACACAGAGGTGATAGTATGTGGTATGCCCATTGTGTAGTTTAGCCACAGCTATATTTCTCTAACTTATGGACATGATTTAAGCAATTGTACAGACAAACTATTAATGTAAACTGCATACTTAACATAATTGCTGTCAGTCATGCACATTATGTACAGATGGCCCATCGCAGGCCTGTTCCTGCCCAGATCTTAAACTTCATCACATGGAGAATATCCAGTTTATTAAAATATTACCAGATGACTTCTGATTACTGACTGAGCAAGTCCTTAATAATCCTTTCATAGTGGATACTTTACTGTGTCCATTTAACACTAGTCTGCAAGATAAACTAGTGGAATAGAATTCAACTCTACACCTTTAATTTCTACAAAGCAGTTGAATACTGGTCTATACAAAGTTAATTTGGCAGAAAAATATTGGCTGACTAACACTAAACTAAGGCAAATTGCTGTTTCCCTTTTCATAAAACGATTTAGGGAACTATCATATGATTAAAGAGATTTGCATTACGCATGGATTGCAGGATGCATTCTTGGAATAAATGACTTCCATTTTTTATTCTGCATGACTGTCTCCTTCAACTAAAACAGGCTATTATACAAACTATTTGCACAACTAATTATGAGACATGATAAACATCTCTTTCAAATTCTGAGTAAGAGAACAATGAATGCCATATAATGGGTTTGGAAAACAGACAGACTGTATGCTAAACATACAATTAACCACAAAAAAAATCTACCCTTTTTAAGTATTTGGAGGGGTTGGGAATCAAGCCAGTGTCATGAAACATGAATTCATAAACAAAAATCATATAAATAACCGATATAAGTTGACACCAAATGATATATTTAATGATATGTACTTCGCTGCATTGAAACATATATTAGAAATACAGTCTTAAAATCAAATACCAAAAAAATCTCAAACAAGTCAAAGTATTGACATTGATTAGTTTACAGTGTAATGCTATTTATTAATTATATAACCAAAGATTAACATGCAGCTGTACAGAACTACAAACAGTGCATGTGATAAAAAAACAAACTGTTGATGAAAGTCATGTACCTTTGGTACCATAATCACTAGAGTGGCCTATAGTGGTCATGGTGTTTGGAGAGGTCCTTTACACCAGGAGTTTAACCCCTTAGTGACTGTACGTCCGCGGCCAAAATGAGCGATCTAAGCAATCGTGATCGCTTCCAGACGCTCTAAGGGTATTATACCTCAATATCTAGGGATCGTGCAATACCCCCTCTTCACCGGGCACCCGAATGATCCGGGTAAATATAACGGGAATTTAGAAAGACCATTTAATGGTGAGAAAAACAGTATATAATATGTGTGGGTACAGTAAATGAGTAAGAGGAAAATTACAGCTAAACACAAACACTGCAGAAATATAAAAACGGCCCTGGTTAAGGGGGGTTAAGCATGCCTGGAATAGGCATAAGGCTACACTAGCTATAAAAAGGCCAGGGACTAATGAAAGTATTTAGAAAATTGGGCAGACTAGATGGGCCTAATGGTTCTTATCTGCCGAACACCGTCACATTCTATGTTTTCTTGATAAAGTACCTATTTCTGTAATAGTTTAGAATGTATAATAGAACACTTGTATTTTGGTTCAGTTCAGTAGTATAATGTAAAAGACGTAAATACCCTGAAGGTGAAACGTAGTTACACAGATCGTTACATACTGCTTCTTATTTTTTAGGCAGTAGCAGACATACAACCACATCCTTACATAATAAATTTAGCCGATGGACAAGTTATCATGACATTAAAAGCAAACCAACAAGTTTGCTAGTAGTGTAGAATTTGACATATTAAAAAAGGATTCACTTCTACTCACTCTCATTTGAAGGGAATTGCTTTGTAAGAGGTTCAAAGGGTAATCCCGAGCACCATAACCACTAGAGCACATTTTTCATCTGATGAATTCTGTCCAAAATTGAACAAAATTGATACTGTTAAAGTGATACTAATATTGAGTTGAGAGTGCCTCTTGAATATTACTTTGTTCCATCAAAAGTATGTCTTGATTAGAATTGTTTTTAATCGTTTCAGACCACCTGCTTACAAGAAATTGTTTTTTTAATGTATCAGTGGAAATAAGTAATTCAATATAGTATACATTTAAATACCAAACCAACATTAACTAATTGTGTACTCTGACGAAGAATTTGCATATTAAAATAAATTGGAAACAAAGTATTGGAGATTACATTTTTAATTAATAGTGGCACTAAAATAATATTTAGTTGTAAACCACACTTTATAGTTTGCTATTAAATATCTATTTTCACAGTCAAGCCATTTAAATACACCCATTTCAGTCATTAAATTTGAAGGGGATGGGAAATTTACACCGAGAGATAGGTGGGTGAAATAAAAAATAAGGAACACTGTAGCATTAGGAATACAAAAGTGTATTCCTAACTGTACAGTATCCCTCAGCCATAAATGTACTGTCCCACCCACTGGGGGTTAAAAATTCTTTAAACACTTACCTCTTTCCAGCGCTGAGGTCTCTGGAATCGGCAATAGGAAGAAGCTAATGAGCATGCATTAGGCCTTCCCCATAGGAAAGCATTGAATCAATGTTTTCCTGTTGGGATTTTGAAGATGCTGGACGTCCTCATGCAAATTGTAAGTGTGGAGTTATATTCCGAGTAAATGCAGGAAGCGCCTCTAGTGGCTGTGTGGGAGACAGCCACTGGAGGCAGTCTTCTCCCTGCAGTATAAACATTGCAGTGTCTCTAAAACTGCAATGATTTACATTGCAGGGCTAAGGGACAGGGACACTCCACCCAGACCACTTTAATGAGATGATGTGGTTGGGGTACCTGTAGTGTCCCTTTAAGGATAAAAATTAAGGGGAGTTAAAAATGTATGTTGAAACAAATTGAAAAGAACAAGAGAGCCAGGAATGAAAGTTAACCTCTCACTTGAGAGAACTTTAAATCGATACAATATAAAAGCTGTCTGTGTTAACATTTTAAAAACAATACTGTGGTTTGAAGATATTTTTCATAATACATTTTAACCTAACTGCCAAGAAGCTCATTATGAAAAGGCAAATAAAAAGCAAAGATTAACCCAATATTCGCTCTTGATTTCTGCACTAACATTTTTAATTTAAGTTAACAGAGCTCAAAGACACATTAATATCAATCAACAAGACGAGAATAGATCTGACACTAGTATTGAATTTACCTTACAGGAAAAATGTATTATTAAATATATTGTAAAAATTGTGAGGCATTGCATTATAGGGTTTTATGTACTGTTGGCTAATGAAAGCTCTTTTAGTTAAGATGTAGATTGTAAATTTGCACAGGCATTTCAGATGGTGCTCAGTGACATTGTTTAAGGCTTAAGGGGTTAAAACCTCAGAAATGTGGCTGTATAATCTTTCTCTATCTGCGCATGAATCTTTTAATGTGTACATCTTTGCAGAAATGTGTCACTGTGCATGAATGTGTTTCTGATCTATTTCAGCCCAAAGCATTAAGGATAACTTCAGTTTATAAAACAAACACTTCCAAAAACTCCTAGTGAAAGAACCTACAAAATCTGTTGAAAAAACTGAGAATTTATATTGCATCCATGGCATACCAATAAAAAACTATTACACACAAAATCTGTTTAAATGGATCATCTGCACTACCAAAACTCCAAAACATATTTGACTTCTATAGATTAATACAACTAGGCATACTCTATAAATAATAAAAAAAACTAAACTAAATTAAAACTCTTCTATATTATTTTAGTGATAAGGGAATCCAAAACAGAGATGAAATGTGTTATTTTCATCAAAAGCAATGCTTACATGTCACCATCTCCTATATTAATTTTGATATATATATCAATCTGAGTCACTTTAGAATACACTTAAAATCTGATAAACCCAATGCCCTATTTCCACTATACAATATTTGCTATGATTTAGGTCATAATTTGATGCCAAGAATATAATAACATCATATCGAACTCCAATTGAGAAACTCTGAAAAACTTTAACCACATATATACGGTTTGATCAAAAATTCTGGTATAAAACTTGTGCATGGTGAAAAAATTTGCTTTGTCCAAATCGATTTGCCCTTAAAAAAAAAGTTTTTTAAAATGGTTCCAGATGAATTGCGTCTTAGCAATTTGGTGTTTTTGAGTTGGTAAATTTTGACAATGTAATAATTTAAGGACTAATCAAAATGACACTGATATAACCTATTATTGTACTAATACATACATACATAATGTAAATATGTTTATAGTACATTGCAAATTATATACTTTTTCGTAATTTATCCATGTAGAATTTTGGAGTTGTGGAATTTGGAAAAATCCGCAATTGCCAAAAATTTAACAAATCACAATTTATTTGAAACCACAAGTCACTTAGTTATTTATATTTAATACTTATTTAAGTGTTTAGTGGCTACTTTTCTAAATACGCTAGCATCAAACACATATTGATAGCTCAATAATGTCTCAGTTTAAATAATCAGAACCCTTAAGTAAAATAAAAATTGGAAATTTACATACCAATACAGCTCCCTAACAAAACTAACCTCCTCATTACCAAGCACAAAACAAATACCCTAAAACCCTTAGTCTCCCATTATTTTTAACTATTCTTAAAATCCAAAATCAAACGCCAAACCTAATCCTACACCAGCCCTAAAACTAACACTGAGGCATTCCTTCTGTTTGCATGCAGGGAACCCGATGAGGGTCTTTGTAGACATGTTTCAGACCACCATGGTTGAACATGATCGATTAGCCACTGTGTTTTAAGGGACTATGTCTACGAATATTGGTGTTTATTTAACCACTAGATGCGGAAAGAATTCGTAATTATTCTATAGTAAACTGCTTCTTGTAATCCTCCAGTAAAAACCTGCAAATACTTTAAAGAGAATGAGAACGTACATCTAGGATATCCAGCAAGTATGGTAGTATAACAGCTATAAAGATGCTCAAATACTGCTCAAGGAATCAATAACCATTTCCGGTAATGAAACTGTTTGTTGCTGCAACAATTCTGTCTTTAATTCTTGCCAGCTGTATAACAATGAGCCTTGCAGAAATTTATTTAATTTTGATTCTCCAATCCAAAATGACTTACAGGGTTTAGAGAAGGTGGCAGATTTCTAACACTTGTGTTTACACAACGATGGCAGAGAAAGCATTAAGCATCACTGGCACACCTGGGATCTCTCTAGGGTTTCCCGTAATCCATAACTCACTGATAGATGTTGGTTCACTGTTAAACATTGCCTTTTTTTTTTTTAACTGTCTGTTGACTGGAGTTTGTCATTCTTGACTATTCAATATGTGCTACAAATGCTTGGATTTTACATCGAAAGTATGAGCATCAAAACCACTTCACTTAGATTCTGCCTTGTAAACTTCTACCTGCAAACAATGTCATTTCTGAGAAACCAAACTTTTTTTTCCCCCATGGCTCTAATGGCTGTCAATCATACGGTCTTAGGTCCCTTGGATTGAAATATCTTCAGTAGTTGTATGGAAGTGAGCAGATGCCACATGCGGAGTATGCACTCAGCAATATTAGAGACACGTATTTGTGGACACTTTCACTATCGAATTAAATTAATTTGTCTGTTAAAGTGCCCAGTGGACAACGATATGATTAGTAATATTTTTAATTGTATAACTTCCTGTGTAAAGGTTATTTGTGATCTAAATTATGTTTGGGGTTTTCATTCACAACCATTTACATAACTGCTGGCAGCAAAAATATAGATTATTTAAGTAAAATAAAAAAATCAAACACAAAAAGTCTTGTTCTAAACCAAGAAATATTTTCAAGATTTTAGACAGGACGATAGAATAATACTGTTTGTTCATCGTAATTCATAAAGTATGACTTAATTTTATAAAATATAATTGCACATGAGTCAACTGTAATCATCTACTGCAGATAGCAAGGTGTCTGAAATAGAACAATAAATAGTTGTACTATCTGAATAATGTAAAAAAAAAAGAGAGTGATCTAATATACATATTTAAAACAAAGTATTTTACAAATTTAGGATTTCTTTCTCTACTTCTATGGAAAACACTACGTTATTTCCTATACTTAAAGAGACACTCCAAAACAAGAGAAATTTAGTTCTATAGCACCTTAAACACTCCAAACACCATAACCACAGGGTCATTGTAGTGACTTCTAACCTAGGGGCTGCCAGACTCCACACCGCACCTACACTACTTCTGACAAAGAACTGTGAACTCCTGCGTAGAAGCTTCCTTTAGCTTTCCTGAGCTAAGCCGTGCAGACCTCGTTTATTGCCTGAGAATCAGCTGATGACTTTCTGTCAATGAGTTAAGCCTAGCACTGCAGGGCTTAGCTCAGACAGAGACCTTATGGCTGTTGAATGTAGTCGAGGTGGAGGTGGGGAGCAGCCCAAATGGCATGACTACCTAAAATGTGGGGTCATTAAGGGCACCATAACCACTGCAGCATGCAGAGCGTGGATTGGAATAAGTCTCATGAAGTTTAAGCAGGTCCAAGTCCTATTAACAACGGTTTATAATTGCATTGACTTGCAAAGACAGTCAAACAAAGACAGATATATGCCTACTCCAATCTAACAGACTTCACAGGAGAAATACAAGCTTCCCAATGCTATTCCTAGTACTTGTATCTTAGGTGCATGATATGCTGCTACCATCCTCCCACATTGGGCTAGTAGTGTTGAGTAAACGAGCCACATCTACATGCATACAATGTTTTGTATTGGATAAATGGAGCAAGTTCCACATAATATAATATACGGAGATCAGCAAATGTGTATAAAGAAATATCTATTTATTTGAAACCTTAACAGTGTTTAATTAAATTTCTGCACGTTAGAAAATAAGGAAACATTTTACTTTTTTATTATTTGATTAATCTACTTTTAGATATTGGCACGATTGTTATACTGACTGTTATATTTCACATTCAAATTATCAAGTATATTTAAAACTATAAATATTTGTTTGACATCTCTGTGTCCAAGAGATTTCCATGTATTCATTTTCGGCCGACGGTGGATGGGAATACGGCTCATTAAATTCAAGCCGGTCCGGAGAATTCACGGACACAAAAACATAAATAACAATATAGGGAAAAAGCCACAGATTATGCACTTTCTAGTACAACAGGTGGGGAAACAAGGGCTGTTTATGGGCTTAATAAAATACACTGTTACACTATAGTTGAGTTCCAAGTCATTAAAAAATGACAATTTAATGCTTTTCTAGAGAGCGAGGCTGATACAAACACACATTATATAATATATATTAAAGAAGGCTATCAAAGCTGCTTCAGGAGAAATTAATAATGGTTTATCTTCACATACATAAATCACTTCCCATCATTCTTGGATGCCCAGAAAGGTCAAACAGATATTTATCTTCCTAAAACTACAATATCCAGTGGTCTGTTTTGCATCATTTACACATTCTAAGGTTTCTGCTTCTTTTTGTATGAGATAATGTTAGATGTCTCACAGACACTTTCTCAAAGTGCTTCCCGTTCAGCATACCACAAAGACACTCATGGATGCAGACTTTTGGCCATTGCAAAAATGTTATTACATACCTTCACCTCTAAATTTCCAGCCCTTGATTGCAGCTTATATCTTGTTTTCTAGTTACAATAACCACTATTCCTTAACTATTCCATTATTTAAATAATGGCACCTGCACAAAATAGCTTTTTTTCTAATCTACACTATTTAAAACATTTGTTTTTCTGAAACTCAAAATCTGTTTTATTTTATTCAGGTGTTATGGAAATCAGAACCGTGTCCATTGGAATTGTGGCAATTAAGGGAGTGCACAGTGAATATTTTCTAGCCATGAATAAGTCTGGAAAGCTATATGGAAAGGTAAGCTTTTTTTTTTTTTTTTTTTTGCAAAAATGCCGAATATTAAAGATGTGTTTACTTTTTGTATACTGGATGGTTAAGTGTAAAAAAATGGATCCATGAACAATGTGAGTCTATTCACAAAGATCCAATTTTCTGACCAACTTTTAAAAGAAAGTTGGTTGAAAAAAGTGGTGCATGACAAAAGCTTAAAGCCTACAAAAATTCATGTTATTCACTTATTACAGAGTGTGGGAAAAAAATATGACATACAAATAGGACTTAAAGGGACATTATAGCTTAATGTAGTGGTTCTGGTGTCTGTAGCCTGTCCCTGTAGGCTTAACATTGCTGCCTAATAACACCTTTAGCGGTAGTCACACAGACTACTATTGGAGGTGCTTCCTGGCCCAGTGCTACACAGCTCTGTATGGAGATGCTGAACATTCCCCATAGAGATGTATTGTTTCAATACATCTTTATTGGGAGATAGTGATTGGTACAGCAAAGCGTTTTGCTGTGCCTGCGCAATAGCCTCCCAATGCTTTCCTGTGGGAAAGCATTAAATTGGCTAAGATCATCAAGATTGATGATCTCAGCCATGGAGGTGGGACCAGCCGTGTGGAGACCGGTGCAGCATGGAAGAAAAGATATGTTTAATATCTTTTCTGAGTGATCAGAGGGGGGCTAGAAAGCTAAACAGTAAGTTTAATACTGTAGTGTTCGAAATACAGGTTTGTATACCTGACACTATAGTGTCCCTTTAAGCAATTTGAATCAACATTTAAAACCCTGTTGGTTCTGATTATCTGCTTAACGCTTAACTTTTAAGTTGGCTATTAATAAGCAGGACTTGATAGGCAGTCAGCAAGAATTGGGTGTTAATTGATGGGTCAAGATGTCTTAAACGAGGTATATTTCAAGCAAACAATGGTAACAATGGCACACTAGTAGCGCTAAGCTCATAGTGGGAAAAAATAAACAGCAATATTTCTATATTTAAAAATATACTCATGTGGTTAAAGTGGAACTGCCAGTTCCCTGGATTTTAAATATTATGATTACTTATCCCTATATTTAACAAACATGTATTTGTGAGGTGTGAAAAATAATATTAACCCCTTAAGGACCAAACTTCTGGAATAAAAGGGAATCATGACATGTCACACATGTCATGTGTCCTTAAGGGGTTAAAGGACCACTATAGGCACCCAGACCACTTCAGCTTAATGAAGTGGTCTGGGTGCCAGGTCCAGCTAGGTTTAACCCTTTTTTCTATAAACATAGCAGTTTCAGAGAAACTGCTATGTTTATTATAGGGTTAATCCAGCTTCTAGTGGCTGTCTCATTGACAGCCGCTACAGGCGCTTCCGCGCTTCTCACTGTGATTTCCTATGGACTGGCTGAATGCGCGAGCGGCTCCTGCCGCGCATGCGCATTCAGCCGAAGAGGAGAGCTCCCCGCCCGGCACTGGCGTAAGAGGTAAGTTTAACCCCTTCCACCCCCTAGAGTCCGGCGGGAGGGGGACCCTGAGGGTAGGGGCACCCTCAGGGCACTATAGTGGTCCTTTAAATGTAGAAAGGCACACTTCTTCATCCTGCAACTGGGTGCCTCCATATTAGCTTACTGTCATTCAGCTCTGTCGTTTGGACCAGCCGTCAGCATACAGAGTAGAAATAAAAGTTTCTATCCTCTTTTTCATTAGCAATGGTTTTCTGCCTTTGCCATGTCTGAACTGGATTGGGATGTAATTTGCTAAAAGTTCAATATAAAAATTAAAAGAAAACAGAGCAACACGCCAAAAAGGTTAATACAAGTTACAGGTGATTGTTTAATGTTTTATCCAATGGTGTCAAATGATATTTCTTACTATTACTAATATTAGAAATGTTAAGTGGCAACAATATATAGAACTTTATTTCCAGGAATATTCCTGTAATCAAACATTAACAATCCTTGTTTTGACTTGACAGAAATCCTGTAATGAAGACTGTAACTTTAAGGAGCTTATCCAAGAAAACCGCTACAACACCTATGCATCAGCAAAGTGGACAAATAATGGAAAAGATATGTTTGTTGCTTTGAACACCAAAGGTTCACCTTTGAAAGGAAAAAAATCAAAGAAAGAGCTAAAATCCTCTCATTTCCTTCCAATGCCAACACCCTAACTGGATATAAAATGAAATTCACCAGTTCCAGCAGAAAGATTTTTTTTTTAATCTATTTTAATAATATTATTAATAAAAAAAAAAACATATAAAACACGAGAAAAGCTGGATCTACTACTGAAAATCCAAACAAGCTGGACTTGCGCAATTATGTGGATTTAAAAGACTGATAAAAGAAATAATTTCAAACTAAATGTAAAGAAAACAAAACTTTAAAAATTAACCCATACAAAATATAGTTAAGATTAAGTTGTAAAAATTCTGAAGATTTGTACAAACATATGTTAGTAATAATCATGGGGTATTATTTTTGTTAAATTATCTAACCCCAAACAAGGAGGATTGACTTGATTATCTGATATATATTTAAAATAAAAATCTGCTTGTTAAATATGGCTGCTATAAAAATTGTCTTTTTTTTTCTTCTAAAGAGCAGATAATAGTGTTATGTAAAATATGTCGGATTTTTAGGCTGCTGGAATGATGTCAGATTTTCAAGTCAATTCTACATGTAGACATTGAGCGGTACATAAATAAATCCCTTATTGAAGAAACTGTATGCACATTTATATCATAAGAAAATATTTTTTACATTTGTGACTATGGCATTCAAATAAAAATGTATTTGTGGAATGAGGTTATGCCATCACTTTCTATGTAATCCTTGTTCTGAAGAATGCCTATTGCTGCTCATATTTTAAAGCAACAGTACTATCAATACAATACTTACTTGTCTATGTGCAGTCTGGTCTACATATGAGAACATCGACTTCTATAATACTGATTTAATAAAATCCTTTCAGATATAACAAAAAAAAAACTATTTTCATTGTTAAATACTGCTGTTATTTATGAGAAAATTTCAAATGTCAAAGTATTCTGTTGTGTTTTTGGAATTCCAAAGTTGGCTCAAGAGAATTGGCATAACATGAAGATAATTCAGTGTGTCTTGATTTGAAACCTGTGGATAATGATTGCTTGATCTCAAAGAGACTGCAAAATATGTGACGTGAAAGGAAGCACAGAATTGCCACAATTTGTTTTCCTCCAGTAGAAGGGACAGAAAAAGAAAGTTAGAGAGAGGTGGAAAAAAGGCAATGGTCAAATTTAGTAGAAATTTATTTTCTCGTTCATTTTTTTTATTTATGATTCCATGAAGAATAGTAATTCCAGAGATAGTGAATCAAATACTGCTCTCCACAAACAGGTATCGACTTTGAAGACACCATTCACAAAGTGATGGTTTCATTATATTTTACTCTCCTTGCCAGTAGACATACATTGATGTACTGGGTTATTGGACCTTCCATTGATGGCAAATGTATTGCGACTTAAAAAAGCGTTTATGTGCTTATTTGCAAAGTTACTTTGCTTTATCTGTGGGTGGGACATTACCTATTATCAAAATAATTTATTTATATATTTTTAAAAACAGCATTTATGTCAGATTATTGAAATCCATACTTGGGTTCCCAAATACTAAAGAATGCAAGAGCAAATTTAGAGTCAAAATGCATACAGCGCTATACATACAACATACAGTACTGGGCAGTGCTAAACCCTTCAGATCAATAACAAGGAATTTGAATGCTCTAGTCCGAAGTGGGTTATTAACCCCTTAAGGACACATGACATGTGTGACATGTCATGATTCCCTTTTATTCCAGAAGTTTGGTCCTTAAGGGGTTAATCTGATATAAATGGTATGACAGCCAGAGCAAAGCAATCCACAGTGAACGGTCTGGTACAGAAATAAACCAAAATAAATAAACCAAAAACAAACAAAAAAAACTTATGCAGTTCAGAAAACTGTACATAAACAATAGGGCTCAAATGTATTTCATCTCACAAAAATATAAATTATTTAGCTCTGAAATAATAGCAAAGATACATTTTTTATGTATATTATAATCAATACTATGTACAATTCCTCGTAGGGCATATGGCTTCTAAAACTGTTTTTGAACAATTATTCATGCTTTTTCTCCTGTTTTATAGCATTAAACTATATTTTAGTTGTATTTGAATTTTATTGTTTTAAGTTATTTAAGTTGATGTTATTTATAAAAATAACTTATTAAGCTGCATCTGTTTCATATGCTTTTAATTCAAGCAAAATAACAAAAGATTTTGGCGAAGCTGTGTTTCTTTCTCCGGTGACCAGACACCATGTCTAGTACACAGTACAGCTGCCAGCATACACTGGATGGCAGACAAAAATTAAAGCCTACGGCAACTGTAAGGAACAATAAACATCTCGCAGGGAACAATAAAGAAATTCAGATTATCATTTACCCTATATTATTTCCAATCAAAGGATGTTCAACCTCTTCCATCGTTAAAATAGAAAAATTCATAGCTAATTCCTGCATTCAAACGAAGGCTTTCAGAGCACACAAATAACCAGTCATAATTTGACCTGAATCGTACAACACCTGGCATACGTATGTCTCTACATGCAAATGTTCAATGTTTATGTATACTGTGCAGCTTTCTTTTGGAGACCAGTAAAACGGGACTTCTGTTTTATTGGCTTACAATGCAGAATTAGGGCAAGCCTCCAAAACCATTTTTTTTTTTTTTTTTAATAACATGACATAAAAAAATGTCATGCTTGAACAAATGACTTATGTGGTCTTGAAAGTTCCAAATTATCCAGAAAAGGTACCTGCTTTTTACTCATTGTCTTGTTTAATGGGCAACAGCACTGTTCAGTAACAACATTAAAACAACATGCCAAATACTGTGTAAGTTCCCTTACTAAAATAGTTGAGATACATCGAGGCATGGACTCCACAAGACCTCTAAATGTGTCCTGGGTTATCTGGCACCAAGACTTTAGCAGCAGATCTTTTAAGTTCTGCAAGTTGTGTTGGGCCTCTATGGATTGGATTTGTTGATCCACATCCCACAGATGCTCAAATGGATTGAGATTAGGGGAATTTGGAGGCCAAGGCAACATCATGTTACTTAAACCATTCCTCAACAAGCTTTGCAGCGTGGGAGGGTGTGTTAAACTGCTTAAAGAGGCCACTGCCATCAGTAAACACTATTGCCATGAAGGGGTGTATGTGGTATTCAACAATCTCAAGGTGGGTGGTAACATCCACATGAATGCCAGGGCCCAAGGTTTTCCAGCAGAAATTGCCCAGAGCCTAACACTGCTTCTGCCATCCTACCTTCTTCCCGTAGTGTATCCTGCTGCCATCTCTTTCCCAGGTAAATGATGCACACGCTCTCAAACATCCACCTGATCTAGAAAGAAACCGTGATTTATCAGACCAGGCAACCTTCCTCCATTGCTATATGGTCTGGTTCTGATGCTCATGTCCCCCAATCTGTGGTGGGCAGATATCATTATGGACACTTTGACCAGTCTGCAGTTGTGATGCCCCATACACTGCAAACTGTGATGCACTATATGTCACGACACCTTTTTATCATGGCAAGCATTGTTTTTCATTAATTTGAGCTACAGTAGCTCTTGATGTGATCGAGCCAGACAGGCTAGCCTTCGCTCCCCACGTGCAATAATGAGCCATGGGCGCCCATGACTTTGATGCTGGTTCACAGGTTGTCCTTTCTTGCACAACGTTTGGTAGGTAGGAACCACTGCATACCAAGAACACCCCACAAGACTTTTTGTTTTGGAGATGTTCTAATCCAGTTGTCTTGTCATCACTTTTTGGCCTTTGTCAAAGTCACTCAGATCTTTTTGCTTGCCCTTTGACTGTTCATTTGCTGCCTAATATATCCCGCAGGTGCCATTCTAACGATATAATCAATGTTACTAACTTTACCGCTCATTGGTTTTAGTGTTGTGGTTGATCAGTGTATATGCATACACATAGGTTTGTTTATATAAAGGTGTATGTTATGATTTGTACGCTACAGGCTAATAGTAAATAATAGTGAATATATTAATTCAGTTAGACTATTTTAAGCTTCATTTTAAAGACAAATGTTTTATTATACAAAATACAGGACTCATGAATACTTCTTAAATGTTTCTAGATCCTTCAGTTTTATGCATTTTCATCCAATTTCTTATATATTATTTTTTATATATTTTAGTTTACTTTATTGGACACATTTACCCTGGTTTTCAAATCCAGCATCATACACAAGTAACTCTCATAAAGATCTTTATCACATACTCTTGGACTCTTCCTTCTACTGTATCTAGGTACTCTCTATAGTAATTTACATACTAGTATCTGTTATCTCAGAAACATCAGTCCTCATTACTCATTGTGTTCCCAATACCATTAAAAATATATGCCAGTTGTGTGCCAATTATAACATTTGCCTTTCCTTTTTGATGTTTCTCTCTCTACTTCCACATTACCACATTACTCTCCGCCTTCCACCTTTGAAGTTAAATAACGACCTGTAAATTAAGTTCCCTAAAAAGGAACAAATTACTTCTTCTCTTTTCTCAATTCTACTATAATTTCATTAATAACATGGTCATTTCCTTAACCAGCAAACCATGACTGTCCCAACTGTGATATTTTTCACTCCTTATATTTAATTTGTTATTTAGTCACAAGACAACATCTCCAAATAAAGCACTGCGGAATAAGCTGGCGCTATATAAATACCAATACCAATAATAATAATAATAATATCTAAAGAATTTTGCAATAAATGTCAATAAATATCTCTCTCAGGAAGAAGGAGTAAATATATCTCTAGTACATTATTCTTATTCCTGAATTAATTACATAAAAGTAGTGTGCTAATGTGTCTGTCCTGTGTTTCGTAAATATGTTGGCCATAGTTCAGTTTTTGTTATTTGATGTTTAATTTTTTTACATTGCACACGTTTTTTTTTTTTACTTTCATTTGTTGTGTTGTCTAATTTTGAGGGTTCTACTCTTACCCCTTTTTATTCTAGTTCAGTCTATCCTTGTTGAAAATATCTAGTCATCAGGCTTCCCCACCCCAGACCATATATACCTTTGTTTTTGTATGGTTTAACATCAGCCAGCCTGCATTCGTCCACCCCAAACGACTGACAATGTATTTATCATTTTGTTTTCTTTTGAAACATTTGATTTTGGCTTGAAAGAGATGTAAATTTGTATATCATCTACACAACAATCACAGAGTAGACAATAATTGCTTTGTAATGTGTCTCATTGGATGCACACAAACAGTAAGTCATCTGAAAGATTACTAGGAGAGCCACATAGGACATCACATATCAGGTGAACAGTTGCAGACAAGTACATGTCGGGGATATTTTCTGGGACTTTCACACAGGATTTGAACTGTCTTAGGACTGTCCCATCCAGTTCAGACAGTCAATTAAAATGTCAGAACCCATTGTGTCAAATGCCACAGAGAGGTCAATGAGGATTAGCATTAGTCATTATCCTCTGCCTTTGGCATCAAAAGATTAAGTTTGTGTACTAGTGCAGTGTCAGTACTATGCCTTCTCCAGAGTCATGACTGGGAAGAGTTATAATTGCAATCATCTAGTTGAGTTGCAACAACTTTTTCACTGACATCACCTAGGAAACAATTTTGGTAAAGACTGATTTGATTTGATCCATGCACAGTACTGAAATATGTAAATTGCAGTTTGTAAAATACCTACTATATTCTTACAAAAGAGGGGATATTGATACCCTTTATATAGATTACCAAACTCACTATCACGAATACATGAAGAATAAAGGTTTTAAGACACTGCATCAAACTGCGCCTATCGTAAAAGGTATGTATGGCTTAAACCCATGTAAGGAAGTTATTTTGTAAACCATTAGTTTTATTGAGTTGTATACATATTTTATGTAATCAGACTAAATCTTAATATTAACAAGCATTAACAGAATACATTAATAATGGGTCTACTTATACCAGGGATGCCTAACACATATAAGCTATAAATTGTCCCATTGACTTTATGTCAATCAACATCAATTATTGTTTTTATTTTTTTAAATTAAAATGTCCTTTACTATAATTCTCTGTAATGAAATAAGTTTATATGAATTTTCTCAAAATTTATACGGGGAGAGCTATAATAACAGTAATGTTACATTTCTACAGACAGAGCTATAATAGAAGTAATGTTTTAGGTTTTGTATGTCCTAGGCCAGTCATACCTATGCACCCCTCTACCTTATAGTTTACTGACCTGACACATACTGTATTTTTCCATGTATAAGACTATGTTTTTTTCTAAAAATTTTTAGTCTAAAATTAGGGATCGTCTTATACACGGAATGTCACTGCAGGGGTTAAATAAAAAAAAAATTGTGCGTGGGGCCTAAGTTAAGATGGTGCCTGCCACATTTCAGTGTGCCACGGCCCACACACATACCTGGCCTCCCTCCCACCGATCCACTTCTGAATGCTGTGGCTAGGAGGAAAAGGTCCCTATATGCATGGAAGCTGCAGCAAGAATCAGCACTTACCACCAACAGAGCTCCTGAGACATGCCACACCATAAAAGGAGCAGCCATAATAAGGTTTTCACCACCTCAGGTAGGTCTTGCTTTCTGAGCAGAGGTGATACTACAGTGATGTCCCAGGATGTCCAGGGGTGATTATAGCCCTGCAGTGCTGTATGGTGTATGTTTACAATTTATAATGGAAATTCGCAAGTTAACCAATTCCCAAAGGAAAACAATGTCCATAGTTCACTCACTCTTTTACAACTGGCAATAGATTCAATGACACACACTCACATTCTACAGATTCTGTAGAGACTTTTAAAAAAATATCTTTTTTTTCTTTTGGATTATTTGCAGAAACAGCTTTTTGGACAGTTGAACGTGTTGGACCTGAGTCTTTTTTTCAACCTACATTATTATGTCATTATATGTACTAGGTGGCTGGTCCTAGACTTGGGATCCCAACCTGTCACACTATGTAATCTGTCCCTTCTCCTCCAGAGCTAGAGAACCTATCCAATTACCAGGAAGGAATCAATTCCTCTGCCCACTGCTTCCACTCCAACAGGAAATAATCCCT